GCTGTGTCTCAAAGCACTTAACATTGCTGGCTGGGCACTCGCTCTGTGAGGCGTTTAGGAGAGGAAAGATGACTGAAAGTGCTGACAGAGATACATTTTATGGCGGACATAAAGGGAAAAAAATCTTCAATCTTCAGGTTCATACAGTTCTGAGGTCTAAAATTTTTCTTAGCCTTAAGACTGATACTTTAACATTCAAGATCATAGATCTTTTTTAAAAAAATCTTAAACTCAACCTCAATTTGGAGGTCAATTTCCCGCAGTACTTGAAAGGCAACAAACTGCTAAAATATTTAAGAGTTTCCCAAATCCCTTAAGAGTTTCTTCACAAGAGTTATTTAACTTTGATTGTAAAAGACAGGGAGAACAGGAGTACAGCAATGATCCATCAACAGTAGTTAATGGGTTGTAAATCATCTCCTTGATAAAGGAACCATAAAATTATCTGGCTTTAAATAGGATTGAAGGTTATCAGGTGAAGTTGAGAAACAGATGACTAATTTCTCTATGGAACACTGCTCCCAGCACTACCAGATCGCGAGAATAGAACCAGTCTTGGTAGATTAATATGGTGTAATGTTATTTTTATATTCTTTCTTTTTCACACTCAATTACCTTTAGGAGTCGAAGAGAAATGTCAGCCCTTTAGATGTGGTTATTAATCACTCCTGTGAGATTAAATAGCACGAAACTCATTCAGCCCACTCAGAACACAGCTCGAGCCATCACGGTCTTTGTCCAACCCACAAGGAAGGCAACAATTACAAATTAAAGCTTTCGATGATTTAAAATTCTGCTTTATCCAGAAACCCTGAGTGCTAGCGTGTGACCTTGCTTCACTTGGGGGTAGACGATATTTGCCTCTGCGTCCAAATATTTGGGGGATTTCAATCGCACATCGGGATTGAGCTCAATCTTTGCCGATGCAGTGCTTCCAAATCCGAGGTGCCTTCCTTCAGATGAGTCACGTAACCAAGATCCGTTCTGCTTGTCCTTAGGTGGACGTTTGCCTTCAAGAACAATCACTTCGCTGGACAGTAATTGCCGCAAGATCCGTTGACATTTCAACGTGATAAGGATGTTTTATGTACGATTTGACCCCAGAATGGTTACTGCGTCACGTAGATAATTAGTTGCTGATCTGCGCATTGGCTCAACCCTGTTAGAAAATTGATCAAGAAGCCGATAAGTAAGGTAATACCTTGGATGTTGATTCTTTATGCAGCTTTACGTTAATTGGTGTCCTGTTTTTCTGCCTGCCTCAAGTTTAGTGTCCGCACTTCACTTTGCACCTGGTTTCGTTTTGTGACAAGATTAGAAAAGGCTTTGTGCAACTACTGTTACCCTAAGGTTCAGCCATCTGCTATGATTTGGGGGTTTCATCACTTGCCAATTGCAATCTGGAAACGGAAGCTCCTCTTGGTCTTACACCCCATCAGATTTCCAGCACGTGCAGCGTTTTGCCTTTTGTCAGTCCCTTTACGTTGCTTAAGAAAGTTCTAGTTCCGGCTCACATCAGCAGAGAGTGAATCCTTACTCGAATCGCTCACTGCGCACCATCAATCACTGTCAATGTACAGAGAAAAGGGAAACTCTATACACAACAACTCGCATTTATATAGCGCTCTTCACACTCGGACATAAACATGCTTTGGGCAATCCCTATTAATACCTCAGTCCACAGTCAGCACTGAGCTCTTTCTTGTAGCGGGTTTATATAACCTGAGATTAATTGCGAGTCCTGAACCAGTATTATTCGTATTCTACAAGCCACCAGCACACAGATTCATTGTCAACATCTCAAATGGACAGTGCATTATAACTCTCTGCTGCTTTCTCATTTTACAGTGCGCTCGAGTTCCTGGTTCTGTTTCGAAACCGCAAGCGTAGTGGCACACCATATTTTATTACATTTCGTGAGGATTTGCTCCCAGGTCACGTAATTAAAGTTGTATTACAAAGCCTGCTACTTGTCTGCTTACAAACTCTCCAGTTTATAATAATAATAATAATAATAATCCTTGCATTTGATATAGCGCCTTTCACGTCGGGAGGACGTCTCCAAAGCGCTTCACAGAACACACTGTAAAGTGAATTGACTGTATATTTGTGGGCAAACGCGGCAGCCAATTGCGCACAGCAATGTCCCACAAACAGTCGTAGATTGAAAATGACCAATTTATTATTGGTTTTGGTTTTGGAGGGATTATTATTAGGCTCTGTGTGGAGTAAGGAAACTTGCCCAAGGTTTCGCCCTCTGCCTGGAATTGAACTCAGATCTCTCGCTTGCAAAGCGAGTGCTCTAACCACTGAGCTACAGGACTACACAAATATGCAACGTAGAAGAGCCCATCGAGCACAGCTGACTAGGAAAACATTTGACTTGGAAACTCCATAAAACAGCACATTTGCACAGCAAACTGAATGAAGTCGAAGTTCCTTGAGTTGGAATCTAGTTGGGGTCAGGGTGCGACATATTGCTATTGCAGTTACCCCAATCAAGAACTAAAGGAAGCCTGAAATTGGCTGGAATTTTTCTTGTGGGTCCCTGATCTGCTAAACCTTGTATATATTATATACAATATATATTAATATATATATATATCAACCGTGTGGAATATCCTTGTGTTACATGCAGCAATTATGACAATAACTGAACATCACCAAAGTCATTATATTTGTTGGCAATGGTATTTCATCTCCGTCCTCAGTTCTTACTTTAATCAATGGATAGATACTGCGAACGTGAAGCACGATTGGCATTCTGAAAAAGAAATGAGAACAAATGGGTCCTTGTTCACCCAAGTCTCTTGTGGTTTTGCAAGCGGTTCGCAAGTTCGAGATAGAACCTTTTACTCGTGGCCTAGTTCTTCACTCTTACTGAGGTTTCTCGATTCTGGATTTCTTTTTTTTATTTGTACGAGATATATAAAAATCAATAAACTCAAATAAAAAAAAAACTCTCCTCTCAAGACAGGTGGTAAGGAATAAAATGAAACGGATTAGCACCTGTTGATGGATAAATGATACCAATCAGCTTCGGGGCAGGTTTCTGGGATTCTTCCATCAAAGAATTGATCAAACACAGAGCGACTGTCTCAAGGTTTATTTAAAGTATTACTGCCACAAGCTACGGGGGAAAACAATCATCACACTTAAGCATTTCGTACGTGTGAGCAATTCATGATCCCAAATGGTTCCCACAAGTGCTCATTCCAATGCTACAGAGTTCCAAGTAATCTTTTCAGTCATAAGGTTAAAACAAATTAAACCTAAGGAGGAGGGACTCGGTGATGGTTTTCCAGAGAACAGGGACAGATTCCTACCAGTTCATTGAAATCTGGGGATGGATGGATGGATGGATGGGGGAAGAGGTAACTAGAAAATAAAAACGTGCCAGAGTTTTGCTCTAATTTCAACTGTCCCGTTGTTACACTTCACTGTGGAGTCCTGTAGCGCAGCGGTTAGAGCACTCGCCTCGCAATCTGGGTTCGATTCCAGGCAGAGGGCGAAACCTTGGGCAAGTTTCCTTACTCCACACGCCTGGTAATAATCCCTCAAGCAAAAAGAACACAATAATAAAAAAAAAATCGGTCATTTCAATCCACGACTGTTTGTGGGACATGGCTGAACGCAATTGGCTGCCACGATTCACCCACAAAATATACAGTCAATTCACTTCACAATTCTGTGAAACGTTTCGAGACGTCTCGGGAGACGTAAAAAGCGTTATATCAAATGCAAGGATTAATATTATTATTCACTGCAATCCTAATTTGCATTGGAAGTTGGCATTTTTTTCAAGTTTATACTCGATTTGGAAAATACATTACTGTACAATGTTTCACGTTTTTGTTAAGCCACATACGTTCAGTGACAATGATATAATCTTTTCACGTTGGGAAGATGTCCCAAAACACTTCAAAGATTTACCATGAACAATTTTATTTGGGGGATTGTTGGCCAGACACCAGAGCGATTTCCCTCTCTTTGAATACCTTTGGAACGGACTCATCCGGGACTGGTGCAAATGTTCGTCAGGCCAGTTCTGTAAGGAGAATGCCATCATCACTGAGCCAGGCTGACGCACATTGACCGTTTGTCATTTGGTTTCAAAGGAGTACATACAGTACGTAGCCAGACAGCAACCAGCATTAGAGTATTACTTCCTGAAGTAGTGCAGTAATACAACTACAGCATCAGACTGCCCGAGTCTCTATTGAAAGGTCTAGGCTTTAAATATAAACAATTGAAACAGCTTACTTTATGTTGTTAAAAAGAGGCTAAGATACTGGCATCGACACAACTGCCATTAACTGCATTGGGACAAGGAGTGGATGTTGCTGAAATTGCTTTGCCCTCCAGTGTGAAATAAAAATGCACCATTAAGTTGTTATTTATCTTCGACATGAATTATGCCAGAGTCCTTTGCCAATTCACGGTCATAAGATACTAACGCTTGGAAACACCTGATTTGCATTTTTACAGGTTATAGAAAACAATCTCAAGGTCATTCTCCCCCTCCCAAACTCTCCCTCCCTGCCTGCTTTAGGGTTAGAAAAATCTCGATATAATTTGTTTTAGAGACAAACCATGACTTTATGAAATTTTGATCCGTTATTACATTAATTTTAGGAAATTAACGCAAACCATTAAAAACAAATAGCAGCCTTTTAGAACTGAACAGCCTCAAATAGTTCTTTGGTGTGAAGCCACCACCAAGAATTTGCAGCAGAAACAGAACTAAAAGGATAGTCAAAGAGGAAGGTCTTAAAATAGTTCTTGAAAGTAGTGAGAAGTGGGGGGTGAGTCAGAAATTGGAGGGTTTCCACAGGATGGAGTTCCAGAAAGTATGATATCACACTTCACATATGGTATAGACCCAGTAGACTTGCTCAGATTTATTTGTTCCTTCAGTGGATATGTACGCCACAAATGTGTTTTTCTTCGTAATGTCTTTCAACATATTCAAGTCATAAAACAAACCATCACCAACGAGTAGACTTTAATATATTTATTGTAAAAGTCAAATTTCAGTACAAAAAAAACAATAGAAATCCTTGAATTGAAATGTATTGAGGCTGCCTTAGGTCTGTTGTGCACAACTAGCAGGAACATCACATATTGGAATTGTATAGTATTTTTACAGGTCCAGTTTGCCCAGAGATTCGGTCATTTATGTGGCCACAAAACCCACTTTGAAGTTTTAGTTAAAAAAAATTAAAAGGTCGTGATCCCTTTTCAGACAGTAATTCCTCCGTTACCACAAACGTAGCCAACTTACCATTTGTAGGAACCACACAGTACTGTCTCAGAGTGAAGGGTTTGCCATCCCCGGGAACAACAGTGGGTTGCATTTCGCTGGGACGTATATTTCAGACTGTCTCATCTGCTCTTCCCAAAAAAAAGGTTGCGTTTACTCAAACTATACAGTACACCTGTGAAATTACATCTGACTTTAATACCATATTTTTATGGCACCACTTTGGATCTTGAAAGGATTCCTTGAACAAAATGGTTATTCTTAGCCAGGACTTCAGACTTCAACCTCACCAGTTCCCGTTTCATCTCTTCGTCAGACGCATCAGTCATGGGCAAGGCCTTAACATCTGACAAAAAGTCTGCAATGATCTTTTCACCGTCCTAAAACATAGGACAAACAAACAGCGCACAATGATTTCAGGTACCAACATTTCAAATAAATTTCAGGTACCAACATACTTCAATCATGTTAAGAGGCATTGCATAGAAATCAAGCCAATCTGCAATCAAAACATTATCTCTTAGGTGAGACAATATCTCAAAGCCCCATCTGCCTACTTCAGGTGGATGTTAAACATTTTTATAGCAACTTATCAAAATGAAATCTCGGAGCTCATTACACTAATTACTATAATGAATGGCAAATCGTTTTATAGGAAAACACAGCAGACATTTTTACATAGAGCAAAAAAACAGCACACAAGCAGCCAGGAGGTGAATGGGCAATTTTATCTTGTTGGCCAGTTCTTCAGGAGAAACATCCTTCTTTTTTCAAGTAGTATTACCGTAAGTAAGACAGGTAAGTGAGACCTTATTTCAAAGGTCTTATCTAAACGATTGCACCTCTATAATCAAGCACAGCTGCAGTTTATTGTCAGGCTAGGAGACAAGCTCAATCTTGATGTTGGGCTTGAACCCAAACATTCAATCCTGGAGGCAAAAACACTGCTATATGAACCGAGCTGACACCCAACTCTTGTCCTGGGTAAGGTCAGCATAGGAACACAATCTGTATCCTCTGGATCACATAGCTTTGTGCCATTACTCATTTGGCCACCAGTAGATCCCACAACGGTTTTAAAGGAACAGCAGCACACTTTCTTAGTTACAAACCTTTTTGTCTTGACGAGATTTCTTGGCTGCAGGGCCCTCATCAGAATCATCTGACTTCCCCAAGTTCTGAAACTCCTCCAGCTCCAGTGCCTTATCCTTGGCATTCTCGATGACGTGTTTGGGAAACATGACAAGTTCGGCTACATGGATCCCAAAGCTCTGGTCACAAACCCCTTTGAATGAAAGAGAGAGAGCTCAGGATACAAAAAAAAATTGATGTCACGATAATAATAATAATAATGTGCAACAAAGGAGGGGAAAGCCAAATCGCACAACACCAAAAAATACAAAGCATGGTCACTCAGTCCACAACTGTTTTGTGGGAGGCTGCTGTGCGCAATTGGCTGCCGGGTTTCGCCACCAAAATGTAGTCAATTCACTTTACAGTACACTTCTGTGAAGTGCTTTGAAAAGTCTCAAACAGTCAGGGATTAGGACCCAAGTGGGGGGGGGGGGGGGGGGGGGGTGGGCTTAAGATTAGAGAGGGTGGAGGGCAGAGAGGGTGGCCAAAGGCACGGTCAAAAAGGATGGGCTTGAAGCGTGCCTTGAAGGAGACGAGGGAGACAGTGAGGCAAAGGGAATGTGGGATGGAGTTCCAGAAGGTGGGGGCAGAGAGGTTGAAGGCCCGACCGCTGATGGTGGGGTGGGCCAGGCGGGGAGCATGGAGCAGGCCGAAGCCTGCTGAGCGGAGGGAGCGGACAGGTTAATAAGGGGTTAGCAGGTTGGAGAGGGCAACATCGTGGAGAGCTTTGAAGGTGAGGATGAGAATTTTGAAGTCGATGCTCTAGAGGGATGGGGAGCCAATGGAGCCGGGCAAGGGTGTGAAGGGGTCACACAGCCTGATGCGGGAGACGATGAGCTGCAGAGTTCTGGATGATCTGCAGCTTGTGGAGGGCAGAGTTGGGAAGGCCGACAAGCAGGGCGTTGGCATAGTCAAGCCTGGTTGTAATGAAGGCAAGTACGTGAGTTTGGGCAGCCCGAGTGGTGAGGAAGTGGAGGAGTCGGGCGATGTTGCGGAGCTGGGGGAAGGCAGCGTGGGTCATAGCATGGATGTGGGGGAGAAAGGACAGTTGAGGATTGAACAAGATGCCCAGGTCCTTGATTGGCTTGGTGAGGTGGAGTGTGATTCCGTGGATGCTGATGCTGCCAGTGGCTGAGGTGCGGAGTTGCTGGAGCGAGCCAATCAGGAGACCAAAATATCTAAAAGAGAGTACCTAAAAGGGAATATCTAGAGGATAAAACTGTATAGAGGGCAATGAGCAAGGAAACAGGAATAGCACAGTCAACTCCAATGGATGAGCTAGCACTAACAGGCTTGATGGTCTGAATTCACATCTACTCAGTACAAATGAATGAATCAAACTGATCAATTTTACGATCGCACCAGCCTGAGACTTGTAATTCAATGCCTGTATTAGTAAATAAACGCAACTCGGTTTTGACAACTCAATACAAGATTCAGGCACAACAAATGTCGAGCAAAACAGATAGCTGATAATCCCAGATGAGCAGGAGCTGCCTCAATTAGATTTTCACTTCAATAACCTCGGATTGTCCACTCTTCCTAGTTATCTATTTGAGACCACAGCAGGATGAGCATTCCCTGGGGATGGCTCTGCACACTCGCAAAGATCTCACTTTTACTGCAGCAGTGATTTTTTTGCTTAATGACTTCCCATATGGAGCTTAACTATCATTTATAATCTTCTGGTCCATGTCCCATTTTCTGCCTCACCAGTGTCATGCAATCGCTGCTGTTGAGAAGCCTCCTAAAGAGCCTGTTCTGCCTCTCCCAAAGCGTGATCTACCACTGCCTTGTCCAACCAGCTGCTTCTTGTGAAATCCCAAACGGTGCCTATTCAAATGTAGAGAACCTTACAACAGAGCCCAAGTAGTTCTTATATACACACACACACACACTACAATGTCCAGTAGGGAGCACTACAATCGTGAATGCAAACCCCGTCTGATTTCTCCCACTTAATAATAATAATAATCCTTGCATTTGATATAGCGCTTTTCACGTCTTCTAGACGTCCCAAAGCGCTTCACAGAATAGACTGTGAAGTGACTGTATATTTGTGGGTGAAACGCGGCAGCTAATTGGTTACAGCAGCGTCCCACAAACAGTCGTGGATTGAAAATGACCAATTTATTATTGTTTTGTAGGGATTATCATTCGATTATTAGCATGTCTGAAATCAGATCACTAACTGGAAATCAGAGCCACATGACTTTTGCTATGAAGCCATTGGAACGCAGTCAATCATGCACTTGAATGGCACAAAACATTTCAAGCAATTAACACTATGGAACATGTAGAAAACTTCAGAGGCAACTAGAACCACAAAGAAGTTGGTGTTTATGAGATTTAACTGCAAATAAATGCAATTCTCCTTCCCAAAACTTGACAAGAATGATTAGCTTTCGCAAAGGATTATCAGATTGCAAGGATTGAGAAATATGAAGGTAAAATCTTACGATCCTTGGTCTTTGCTGAGTGAATTGAAAGCAACCAGGATAGAGGCGAGAACATAATTGGGGAGGGGGAGGGAAAGAGGGGAAAGGGAACTAAAAATGAAAAATCACAATTGAGAGGAATGGGCATCAAGACTCACACCTCAGTTATAATGTATCAGAGGACTGCTGGTGTCTGCGGAACTATTTTCCAGCATGATTCACTGCCTTCAGGAAAGTAGAAGCAAAGGGTGTGAAGTGATGTTAAATAAAATCTCCTGGTTTATGACTGTGCTACAGAGGCAGCATTTACTGTACAAAGGCAAACATACCCTAGATTTAAAAATCAGAGGAGGGAGGAGTACACAGTAACAAATCTAGCAAACATCAATAAGTGTGGTGGTCACACTGACTGGGCGATTAAGAGCATCAACCAGTAAAACATCAAAGAAGAGGAATTCAGAGAGAGAGAGAGAGAGAGAGAGTGAGAAATGCTCCTGATGTACTTTCCAAATTTGTTAGCCAGTTACTGCGTAATAGAATGTGGTACAATCGGCTCATGATTCAACTTTTGATTTCCTTTTTACTCTCTTCCAACCCTCTCCCATTTTACGATTGTAGCAGCATCCTCAATTTCCCTCCCCTCTGCCCAAGTTCATTCACAATCCTGTTGGCAAACAGTTGAAGGTCAGACTGTACTGTTCCTTTCAACTCTGTGAGCTTTGAATCGTTCAAAAGGTTTCAATTTACTCTTTAGAAATAGCACCTTCGGAAATCTTTCTGGTTAAAGTTTCCAAAGAAAACAAATGCTGATGTCTATTTTGTAACAGCTGAGGTCTAGCCCAATACTGGGAAATTATCATTCATTTATTATAATAATAATACTGGCATTTGATATAGCTCTTTATTCACGTCTTTTAGATGTCTCAAAGCACTTCTAAGTGTTGAGGGGGAAGAGGGACGAGTTTTTAAATTGAAGGCACATTTTGCTTTCAAGAAGTTGCATATTTTTATTATTCAGTGAGAAGTTTTACGCAACAGCAGGGCCTGAGGGGCTGTGTTTTGGACTGAGCACGGATAAGAGATCACATACCATCATAAAAGAAAATCAATATTATTCCAGCCACCATTAAAAAAAACTAATAACTGAATGGAGGGCAGAGTTTTAGCGAAAGGGCATAGCAAATGAAGGTTGCAAAAGAGACACCATATTTACAGACAACGTGAGCAGATTGTCAGCTCAGGCAAAGGTTTAAAGACAAGTGTGGGAGGGAAGAAATCTGTTTCAAACAGGACCAGTTGGAAGATTTTGTTTCACAAAAGTTAACATTTTTTTTAAAAAAGGCTGTAGAAATTATAGCAAACCACAGGTATTGAATACAAATCTCTGTAAAGGACAACTGAACAGTGTAGGCTTACTACTGGGTTTGCCATGAATAACAGTCTATTCTTAGGAGAAAAAACAGCAGTCAAAGCCGGGAGGGGGGTCTCAAATGACAAGGACCACTAAAGTGAGGCCTTTCAACCCACACAGCACCTATTTCCTTTGTGCGTTATATCCTGATTACCTAGGGATAGCTTCCTAAAGTCCATTTCTGAATAATGTGTCTAATGCATGGATTCCTGCGACATGAGATACTAAAATAGCACAGACAACCTAGTTTACAATTCACTTTGTGCTTGCCCAGCTCATCCACATATAACAGAATCTTTCAAACATTCCTGAAATTAGGAGAAAAAAGAATCAAGACAGCTAGCCATTTTCTTTGAAAGGTACTTAAACCACTGTTCGCCATCAGAAATAGAAAACATCTCAATGTCACTCTTGAAACACCTTTTTTCTTCCTTGTTACAAGTTACTGATTAAGAACTGAGCATTCCCATTTTTAAGAAAGAGCAATGTTGAACCGTTTGAAGTGGACGTATTCTGGAAAACGATGGAGGTATTTCACTAAATGAGAAAATCAGCTTCAGCATATGAACAGAGTAGGGCACAGCCTTTTGCCATAAACACAACACTCAGGGTACGCAAAAATTAAACACATTAATAATAATAATTCTTGCATATGACACAGCACCTGATCACATCATGAAGACATCTCAAAACGCTTCACGGGATCTACTGTAAAATGGATTGACTGTTTACTTTGTGGGCGAAGCACGGCAGTCAGTTTGCACGCAGCAATGTCCCACAAAACCATGGAGTGAGTGGTCAATTTTATTTGGGGGATTTGTTGGCCCGGACACCGGAAGAATAGTGTCTTGGGATCTTTAACGTCACCTGAACAGGCAGACGGGAACTCGGTTTAATGTTTCATCCGAAGGACATCACCTCCGACAGCGCAGCACATCTCAGTACTGCACTGGAGTACCATCTTACCAGGGTGGACCAACTGCTGGCCTGCAGGACAATTTCATCCAGCTCCCCCTACCCCCCATTTCATCTGGTCCACCCACTCCCCCCACAATCTGGAAATGTTGTTACGTTTCTGGAAAATATTGCTTATGCGGCCTGCAGAGGTTTCTCAAATAGGGCATCCAGCCCTCAGCAGCCAAAAGCTTGGACCACTCCAGGTCTCAACACGGAGCTCGAACTTTTCGACTTATACAGGCAAGACTGCTATGAACTGAGCCAGGCTGATACACACCACACATACATTGAAAGCTTATAGCCACTGAAATTAAGTTAGGACCAATGAAGAGAAATATCATGAATCAGAATCTGGCAGTTCGCAAAAGGAGAGATTAATGGTTCAAAGAAGAAAATCTGAATCACTGACCATCCCCCCACCCCCAAGGCATTACATGGGTTTTTTTCCTGAACCATTTCAGTGGTGAGAAAAACACAAATGGATTCTTGCAGATTTCCTTGCTTCTCTGCTTCTCTGTCTCAGTCGCCATCTTAATTAAAACACCTGCAGAAAAAGCTCTTCTTTTTGCTATCGATCTACTTTTCAATAAGCACTTTTCTGTTGCTGACGTTTTCTGCTCACATAGAGGTCAGTGTTCAGAAAGAAAACATTTCGCTATGCACTAAGCAACGACTCCCCCACTCCCAAAATAGGCAAAGAACAAATCTGATTCAACCCCAAATCCTAATGTTGGAAAAAACATACAATATAAAATGATGTGTATAGCCCCTTTCACATCGGAAGGACGTCCCAAGATGCTGGACAGTCAGGGATTTGGACCTGACCTGTGGGTCGGGATCGGGGAGGGCAGGGAGGGTTGCCGAAGGCTCGGTCGAAGAGGATTTTGAGTCGTGCCTTGAAGGAGATAAGGGATGGGGGGGCGAGGTGAAAGGAAGGTGGGATAGAGTTCCATAGGGTGGCAGCCGAGAGGCTGAAGGCCGAAGCCGATGGTGATACCTAAACTGGCGTAATGCATCCTTTGGTGAACAGTAGATGGAATTTGAGTTGCTGTCCGCACACATTGTGAGACTTACCTTTTTTCACACGGTACAGCATGGTCAATGTTTCGTCTGTTGTAAGTGCGGTGACGTGCAGGTTATGCACCGTTGGCACTTGGTCAGCGAGGGCTGTCAGTTCATGAAAGTGAGTGGCAAACATACAGAAGGCACAGATCTTTGTAGAGATGTATTCGGATATAGCCCACGCCAGGCCAAAGCCATCATACGTAGAAGTGCCTCTGCCCAGCTCATCAATAATAATCAGGGAGTGTTCAGTCGCCGACCTGAAAAAAACACTGGCAGCATTAATCTGGGGCCAGAAAAGCTCAAGCTGAAACATTACGCCATACACCATTGCAAATTGTTCACGATTTGTCTCTCAAGGAAATATCTGCACTATTATTACAATGGAACTGTACATCTTATTATGGGCAGTACCTTGGTGTGTGCTGATAAAAGATGTATTACTTTTTTTTGGAGTATTCAAATGAAAAAGCTCTAGGAATAAAACAAGTGTGACCTAATTTGGTTATAAATACTCTATTAAATATCCTTTAATTGTGTAGATAAAATTATAACATTTAGTTGGATCTGAGCACTAGTCTCCAATGAGCCCAAAAGCTTCACTTTAATTTGAAAATTAGCTGAGGAAAACATCTGAAAACAGAATATTCCAGTGTCGACTTATGAGGTTTACAAAGATTGAATAGTGCTGTTTCTGCTTTTTTTTTTTAAACAAAACCTCAACTGGAAGATCTTTATTCCTGTAATATATCCCCTTTCCATCCCCTCTGCCTGCGAAGATGAGGTATCTCAAGGAAACAAATGGTATGTTTACAGCTCCAATTACTTGTCAAAATAAGAGCGGCAGTCACAAAATTAATCAAATTGACTCCATAGTATTCTTCCACATAAGCTTCAATTTGTGCTCCAGACATCACTGCAGTGATATTTCTCAAACTGACACTCACAGAAGTGAATGGATTGAGAGGGGGGACATTACTACCTAGAAGCGGGAAAGAATATCAATCGCTTTCATAATTTCATTTAGAATACATTTTTGGACACTAAAAAATATATTTAGGATAAAGGCCAGTTCTGTTACAACCATTGTGGATGCTCTTTTCTTCCTTCATCTCCCCCCACCGCCCAAACTCTTCTTTCACCATAGATGGTCTGCCAACATCTAAAAACAAATCCTTCAAGCAACGATAAAATATTAAACTCACAGGGTCAGTCATCAACAACAGAATTACATTTGTAAAGCGCATATCACGACGGGAGGACGTCCCATTCGGGGATCAGGACCTGAGCGTTGGGGGCAGGTTTGGGGTGAGGGAGGGCAGAGAGGTGGGAGGGCGGCTGAAGGCACGGTCGAAAAGGAGGGTGTTGAGTCGTGCCTTGAAGGAGGCGAGGGAGGGAGCAAGGCAAAGGGATTGTAGGATGGAGTTCCAGAAGGTGGAGTTCCAGACTTGAATTCCATTAATCCAAAGAGGGTAAATTCTGGAGTGAACAGTTTTACTAGAACAGAATAAATGTTCGTGTGTCGTGCTAGTGATTCTCATTTGAGCTAACCACTCCAATCCTATTTCTCTGATCATTCTCCGTACTTCTTTACACTTTCATTCTTCAAGTATCTAAATTCCTTCTTAAAAGATTGAACAAACTCAGTAGGATGCTAAGAGGCATTGCATTTCATTCAAACGTTTTCTATTCGTTTTATGCTAAAGGTACAATCTTACAATTCTGCACGTTTTCTAATGTGATCAGTCTACATTAGATAATCACCATAAAAGCTGGTCCAAAGCACTCTTTCCTCAAAAAAAAACTCAAAATGAAATTGTGCACTGTAGGATGCTAGTGGTGAAATATCTGTCCAGTTTTAATATACGCAATCACCACTTGCAGTTTTCATTCCTATTCATGATGGCTCATCACTTATCAACAGCTACTCCAAGCAATTTGTTAATTGAATGAATGGAAAGTCAAGGCTGGAGACCCCAGTTTGTTGAGTGGCTTCACACGGTGTGAAGGACAAATGGGTCTGAGAACACATAGAAAGTGAAAGCTTATTACATGGTCCCACAAAATATAGGTCAATTCACTTTATAGTACATTCTGTGAAGTGCTTGGAGATGTCTCAAAGATGTGATAAGGTGCTGTATTGAATACAAGAATTATTATCGTCCACTCCTTCAACCTGTCTGAAAGTGGTTTTAGCTGAAAGCAGGATTGCACTGATGGTTTTCTTTCAAGATACACATTTTCAATTTTGATTTCTGCAACTTTTCTGAATGTACATTTCTACTCTCTGATCTTACTGCTTCAAAAAACAATGGGGACAGATAAACATTATTTTGCTAGAAAATAGCAGCTTAGCCGTTTGGGCATCGAATTAGAGACCAGAAAGATCTGGATTGCAACCATTGTGGTGACTCTCATCTCAATTTCCAAGCCTACAAAGTGCAGGAAGACCAAATTAAAAGCTAAGCAGATCTGTGTAGTGCTTAACTGGCTCTTAAGAGACATCACTAATAAAACCAGTCAGGTCTGCAGTGAGTATTGATGGTTGCAAATTCTGCCTGGCTCATAAGTAAGATTGCCTGATCAATGTGGTGTTGACATATGGACACTGAGAGCCAAAAAGCCCCAATAGTTGGGACTGAGCCAGTCAAGTTGGAAAAGTACCGGGCTATTTTGTTTTGCAGATAATAATAAAATGGCATATTAAAAATATAAGTAATACAGAAATAATAGTATCCTTATATCACATCAGGATGACATCTCAAAGCACTTCACAGGATATATTGTAAAGTAGAGTAATTATGTACGTTGTCTGATGGACTATCAGTTCTCAGGTTCCCCCCACCCTATTAGTAAAGCCATTAAAACATCCTTTGAAATTGGAACTGTAATCCTGGACAAAGATTAGAGATGTGCAGTAATCCCGGAATTCATACTTATTTATTAAGGCATATTTACTGTGGAATATTATCCTTTTGGAAAAGAAACACCACTAAAGAACTGTACTGGGAGCGCTTTACCTCAAGATAGCTGCAGTCTCCAGCATTTCGGCCATGAAGGTTGATACTCCTTTGAGCTGACTGTCTGCAGCACCGACTCGAGCCATGATGCAGTCCACAATGGTGACCTCTGCGGAGTCACAGGGCACAAAGCAACCGATTTGGGCCATCAGCACAACCACACCCGTCTGGCGGATATATGTGGATTTTCCACCCATGTTTGGACCTATTCAAACATTTACAAAGAGAAGTCAGGTGGATGAAAATCAAAACGAGTCAGGAACGATAAATGCCTTGGGTCACACAGCGAGCTTGGAATTCCAATCCAGTATTGGTTTGAAGTGTTCATAAGGAGAAACACACCTGGAATTTCTCAGACAGAGACTTTGCTATATCTCGGCTTCACTTTTGTGGGAGGCTATCACAGCTCCTCGTCTCGACTACCATAAGTTAGATAGCAGCCACTTTGTTGATAAACAAGGCAAAACGGTTCCACATATGCACAAAACCATCAAATTTTAGACACAATGTTGGCTACACACTCTTATGGAATAGAAACATGGAACTTGCCAGGATTTTGAAAAGAATCATGCTGATGTTATGCTGAGGTTATACTATGAGCAACACTGCTTAAAGACCCAGCAACTTTTTTTTAAAATCAGCAACCTATTCTGGTTTAACCAATAATGGTTCTCAACATCAAGTGAACGGAAGTAACAAAGTGAACTGCAGTACGTGCTCGTACATCAACAGGCTCCGAATCAAAATCACTCAGTTGATTTTGGATTAAGCGTAACATCAACAACTTGCATTTATATAGCATCCTTCACATAGGTTAGCGTCTCGGAGCACATAATATCCCTTCTCTTCAGAATGTTTTGCTAACATTGGCCCAATCCTTACCGGTTATTATATGAAACATCTGTTTATCCTTCTCGAAGGTGACGTCGTTGGGAATGAAGGCTACCTCATCCTGAACCTCAATGCAGGGATGCCTGGAGCCCTTCAGGATAAGCTGTCCTTGGCCTCTTTCAAGAATCACAGGCCGCACATACGGCACTGGTGCTCCATTAGCTACGTGGGCAAAGCTCACCACTGCATCCAGTTGAGCAATCACATCATTTAGTGTCTGTTGAGGGTCCACATATCCTACCAAAGCAAAGAGAGTATGTTAGGGTTTTCTGTAAAGTATTGCATGCTATTGCGGAATTTTCACTTAAACAAGCAATCGTAATTAAATGGGTAATAGCCACAGTGTAATAACACTGTAACAAGATAAAGTTCGAGATCTGAAAACCTCAGATAATTTCTTCTTGAATGTAATGTTTTATTCAAGATGTTTTATCTGGCAGAGACATTTATAAAATATGAAAAGTGAATATTTTAACTACACTTCAGCAAAATGTGGCGAACGTAAGATGTTCTGACTAACAATCCCCCAATAAAGAAAAGTTGGTTATTCATTTCATGGCTACTTAAGGGAATGGTTACGTGTAAATTAGGTACTGCATTGGAATACAAATACACAGTTACTAAGATTCACAGAAAATGTTGAAGTGTTTGAGACGATTAAGCTGATAAGGTGCCGTTTCAAGTGAAATGATTATTATGTTATTCTTGCTCGCATGGGTACAACCATCAACTTAGCCAATTATAACCTGACAATTACACTGTCCCCACTTTATAGTGACATGACACTCCAGTGTTAGCACATAATGTTAGCAACTTCAGATATCAAATTAAACTGGCCTCTTAAATCTTTCACAATTTTGTTTGGAAATAAAAATTAATTCCCACTGTAGCTTCTTGGAAATAAGCTGACATGAGTGTTCAGCAATTAGATCATCACAGCCTCTCTCAGACTCCAGTGCCACTTCAAATCCACAATTAGCAGGCAATCCATGGGTTTTTGGAGACTCGTTTGATTCAAACAGTAGGAGATACCACAAAAATTAAAGATTCATTTTTTTTGTTTTTCAATATTATAGTTGAAATTAAAAAAAATTGACTTCTAGCCTCTCGAAGCTAAACAAACATCTTAAATATTGAGAAATTGCTACTGCCATCCACCCACATTCCTCCATTATAGACAAGCGGCCGATCAATACATCCTCAATTCAGATTGAATAATTCCCCTCGACGTTATGAGTCTTTTCAATCTTCTGATTCCTATCTTCATTAGTAAGGTTTCAGTCAACGAGTCACAAATCACACACAAAAAAAATCCAAGGGGCCAATTATTTAGCTGGAGTCTCAGAATCTATTATCTAAGTCAGCACAACATATATTAATATACAAATCTGAGCTTTTTATTGAGAATTTTTTAAAAGAGTAATTATATCCATATGAGGGCATTCATTACTTTACGTAGTCTGCATAAAAGTAACTCTCCTATTGACAAAAGATATCCAAAGTGACTGGAACAACAGATTTCCAGATTTAGACTGAATGTTAACACCTCAATATTCCAGCCCTGCTCTCTCCTCCTCCAGCTACCTTTTTACAATTAGTTGAAAACGAGAGGTCGCAGAACATCTCACCTGCAGAGATATTAATGATTTCTTTCACAATTACATCCTGGGCCTCTTCATACTCCTCCCTGCTCTTCATATAGTCTTCGTTGTAGGAACTCAGCTTGCTGGAAGGAGGAGAGATGTATGAGCAACCAATAATCAAACATTCACTGAACCCTCATAGGCCCCATGGCCGCACTTGTGGACATTTACAACAGTAGCATTTGGTGCTTCGGATGAGACAAACCAAAGCCTCGTCCACCTGTTTAGCTAAATCAAATGCAAGGCTTATTATTCTTTTCCCTCAGCTTGCCTTCCTATCACATGCACTGACCACCACCTCGAAATCCAGCTGTGCACAAGCGCACTTTCAACGGGGGAAAGGAAGGCATTTGAGTTAAACAGAAGACACATGGTGTGAAATATCCATGCATGTGCAACGGCACAGCAGAACTGCAAATAAAACAGATTCAGTAAGGAATCAGAGGTTTTGTAGCATTGACAGCTCATCACAGCAGGTCACCTTGCAATCATATCTACATTTTAACCACTGTTTTTATGCAATATATTAATCTCATGTAAGGGCTACGGCAGAAAACTACCAATATAAGTTTCAGCCTGATGAGTGTGTTGTAGCTGCACAGTTCAGGTCACTGCTATAATCAGAGACAAAGCCAGGATTCACCGCCCAATCTGGAAACAGTAGGCATTATGTTGTAACAATTAATGCAGCTGTACACTGAAGTGGAAATGCAAGAGAATTGAGAGTATTCCGCTGTAAAATAACCTCATACCTTTGTTTCGCATGAGCACATCTCTCTGGGTTTTGCAGAGGCTTGGCTTAATTGGTAGCAAGGTCACTTCTGGGTAAAAGGTTAGAGGTTCTGCTGCGACAGGGAGAGCAAACTCGGTGGTTCTGTTTTGGATCACACATTAAATCAATGTTTTGCCTTCCCACAAAAATGTTCACTGCAATTTGACCAGAAATATTCGTGGCACACAGATCTTTTTGATATAAGGTGCTATAAAAATGATGTTCTTTTCATCATCGGAACATCAATGGCCAGCTTTGGTCCACTGAAATACATATATATAATAATCCTTTCATTTGATATAGTGCTTTATCACGTCTTCGAGACGTCTCAAAGCGCTTCACAGAATACACTGTAAAGTGAATTGACTGCATATTTTGTGGAGGAAACGCGGCAGCCAATTGCGCACAGCAGTGTCCCACTAACAGTCATGGCTTGAGTGACCAAATTATTATTTATTTATGAATGATTATTACCCCCGGAAAAGTGATCCACCAATCAACCAACAACCGGGTTCCTACTTATTGATAGGAAAACAGAGGCATGCGGAGTAAGGAAATTTGCCTAATGTTTCATGCAGCCTGGGAATCAAACACAGGTCTTTTCGCTTGCGAGGCGAGTGCTCTAACCAATACGCTACAGGACTGTGTGTCACATATACACACACATACACATACTGTATTATCATCAATTAAATTCAGATTTAAAAAACATGACCATTGCCAATGGGGCTCCAAATTTGATGGGAGGGAAGATCTAACGGAGGTTTTTAAAATTATGAGGGGTTTTGATATAGTAGATGGAGAGAAGTTATTCCCACTGGTTGGTGAGTCAGTGACTAGAGGGCACCAATTTTATCTAGTTAGCAAGGCAGCAAAAGGGTAGGATTAAGAGATATCTGTTTACAAAGAGTTGTTAGGATATGGAATGCCCTGCCAGTTGCGGTGGTTGAGACGGCATCGATATAAACTTTCAAGAGGGAACTAAATATATATAAAAGGAATATTTTGCAGTGGTAGGAGGAATAGGCAGGTAAATGAGACTGAATATATTGCCGTTTCAAACAGCCAACACAGACATGATGGGCCAAATGGCCTTGTAACTTTCCTCTCCTGTCTTGGGAGCCAGTTGCTAGGAAGCACAAAAGATCAAATCAGGATTTTTCTCTGCCAGCCCATCCTCAATTAATGAGCAGCTGGGTGGGGGTGGGTGGGTGGGAAAAGAGAGGTTGAAGAGCTGGAAGTTGACAAAACGCATAGCCAAAAAAATAATTTCAGTAGGGTGTAAGTCGGGGAGAGAATCCCTCATTATGCTTACGTAAAATCTCATCACCATGTATCCCTGGGAACCCTGATCCACTCTCATACACGGTGATGAGATTTTAGGCAAGTTCCAGACAGCTGGGGCTGATGGCTTGAACATCATCGTTTGAACAGGGGTGGAGGAATGCGTTAGAAGAGAGTAATCAGTTCAAAAAGAACTACTCCCATGGTTATCGAAAGGGCCGCGTTAAGTGATTTATCCCAGGATCCAGTGCACTTCTTGGTGATAAATACCTAATTACATTTTTAGGCATGTGCAAGAATAACATACAACATACAATAATCTTAGAGGCAGCTATTATCAGAGAATTACATGCTTGATATTAAGTGAATGAAATGAAAAGCCTATTAAGTCAGGCTCTCAGTTGCTCCAACATGGAAGGGCAAACATAACGGTCAGTTTGGTTGCTGCTGCAGCATTCAGTTTACACAAGTAATCTTCCTTCAATTTTCCTTCTTCTAGACCCAGCGGGACTTTACTGCTGCCTTGGGTGGGGGGGGTGGGGTGAGTATCACTTTTAATTTTTTTTTAATACAAGTACAAAGCACATTATTTTATTCTATTTATTATGTTATAGGCTGAGAAGGACGAGGTCCATTATTCCCATCATCAGACGTGTCTGTTCCTTAGACCCACTTAGCATCATGGCTTTGGGATAAGACCAAAACAATCTTGATCCAGTCAGATTCGCTCCTAGAATGAAGGTCTTTATATAATACAGTATACAGTAAGTTTCTGACGACTCGTTTCCTGTATAAAATAAACTAAATCATCACTCAGATCAGTTTGTGTATCGCTAGCAATGTTCTAGATAAAGAAATCCATCACAATTACGTCAATGTGTTTCAGATATCATGCTATTAAACATGATACGCAATTCATCATCTCAAATTGCCTCCATTATCACTGCCAGTGGTTTTGCCACACAAAGACAACTCAAACAGCTCTCTCCCAGAGAAATGCAATGTGACAAAAAACACAATTGTTCTTCTGGTAGTTTTTTTTCTAGTTTGCAGTACAATTATGTCACAAAAAAATAACACTTTCCTGAAATCCTACAAACAATCTTACTTAATCTGCGATCTAGCTCCAGGTCACACTTATACCTTCACTAATCTCTCACCTACATTTAATAATAATAATAGCATATTTGTGCTCAGGATACCTAATGCAGAAGCATTTGAGCACAATCCTGACCTCAGCCAAAAGCAACACCAAGGTGCAACAGTTGACTGTTTCCCCAGGATATCTGCATTGCCACCATAATGGAAAATGGGCATGTGAGGCCATGCAATTTGGACAAGATTAGGATTCAATGATAGTTCCAATCTCCCCCCAACATCCCCCACCCCACAAGATGGTGACGTTGATGCTGTCCATAGCCATTTGGGTGAGTTAACAAGATGTCAGTCCGATGCCTATGGTGTGAGCCACCATATTCAGAAAATTGGAATAAAATTCAAAAAATGTTGGGAATGCTAAAACACAAGTATAATTTCCACTGTAAACTGCAACTACTAGAGGTCAGGACACCCAATATGAAGCTGCAGCTACCTGAACAAGAAAAGAAAAACCTCACCTGTTTGTAAACCGAACTCCATTCTTCTGTATGTCTATGGTATTAAATTTCTTGTTGTTGCGAAGAGCCTTTTCCTCCTTGCAGGTAACTCGGAAATAGTAACCTAACTGAATACTTGATTCCAGTTTCATAGTCTTGCCTGCTTCAAGCCCTGCATGCAAACGTCCAGAGAATTTAGTGAAGATGTTTCTTCAAACAATAATAACTCGATCATTTTCAATCCATGACTGTTTGTGGGACATTGCTGTGCGCAATTGGCTGCCGCGTTCACCCACAAATATACAGTCAATTCACTTCACAGTATATTCTGTGAAACGCTTTGGGACGTCTAGAAGACGTGAAAAGCGCTATATCAAATGCAAGGATTATTATTATTATTATTAAGAGCTAGAAGAGCAATACATTTTTTAATTCTTCTCTAAACTATATTCCTCAAATCAGGCAGTGCTGATATAACCAGCAATAATGTTGTAAACCATGCATTTGAATAGTATTTGTTTCTCTTAATTCCATACGTCAGTTACAATTCCTTCAGATGTATTGGACAAAATGATATAAGCAACTCAGGTGGATAAGCACGGCATCTATAAAACAGGTTCAAATTCAGTTTCTATTTCCCATAAATGGTTTTCAAAAATTAGCCAAAGGGAATAAATGGGAGTACATAAAAGTAATTTTTTACATTGCATTTTCACTACTAGAAGGAGGGTTTCAATCCAACACAGACTTGGAAACACGATGCTCTACTTTCTGTATTGTCTGTAAAAGATTGCAGAATCATAATTATTACAGAGCTATTTAACCCATCAGTCTTTGGCTAGTGCTAGCAATCACACACTGTACTTCTGGGAAAAGGAACAAATTGGCTAGATGTTATTTCTTGCTGGTCCTTTTAGTCAGATTTCAGGTGTAGCATTGTGCATGGGATACGAGAGAAAGGTATGAAAAACAGTTTTGTCCTGAATTAACATTGGCAGCAAGAATGTCAACACTGCACAAGATGAAACGTGTCTTTAGGAACCTTAATTTCAAGCAATGTGTTTAGTTAGATAAGAGCTTTGCGCTCAGAATTGGAACAGTTAAAGGGTTTGCAGCTAAACAGGCCTGGCATAATTGAGCTTGTTATAAATATTCTCTTTTCTTCTCCCATTCCTCCAATTATTTTGCCTCCTTTCCAGAAGGCACAGGTTCTCTCTGAGGTACTATTTCAAAAGGCTTCTTCCACTCAAGTGGTCATTCTTTATATTGGAGCCTGGGCAGTAAGAGTAATTAGACTATTCGACCGTGGAGGGCATCAGTCAAACCTAGCCCAATCAATATCCCATCCAATATCCACATATGCACAAATAATCAATGCATTAGAATAATCCTTGATATAGAATTTATTCACATCGACAAAATGTCAAAGCACTTGGCAGGATTTTACTGTGAAGTGTAGCAACTATTTGTAAGCAAACAAGGTCACCCAGCGCCGTATTGGGTGTCAGCCTAGATTAAGATTCAAGTCCTGACTTGGGGCTTGAACTCACAACCTTCGCCCACAAATATACAGTCAATTCACTTTACAGTGTGTTCTGTGAAGCGCTTTGGGACGTCCTCCTGACGTGAAAAGCGCTATATCAAACGCAAGGATTATTATTATTATTATTATTCTGACTCGCAGGTGAAAGTGCTGCCAACTGAGTCAGGCTGATGGGGGTTTACAAAAACTATAATGGCATCTCGACAACTAAGCAGGTAGAATTTAGTGCAGGATTAATCATGTCATTAGACTAAGTACCTCCTAAGAACTCTCTGATAAAGCCAAAAGCTCTAGAGTCATTAGTTATTCTGCAACAATGACAAGAAAAGCAATTTAGAACAAATTTGATCTGTGTTACTGACGGAATAACAACAATTCTGATAGGAGATAAGTTTTCACAACATTAATATAAGTAGTTCTTACCGCCCCTTCCTTGCCAGGTTTCCGGCAAGTACTTGCTCTCCTGTGTTAGGAACCGCTGTGCCATGCACTTAATTTAAATCCTCAAAACAGAGTGACTGAACACTGTTCTACAAGGCGTGCACATAAGAGATACCTGTGGACTCCTTTACAATTTTCCTTCTCCCATTGGTTCTTACCTTGCCTTGCAGTTTATGTCATAGTTCAGAGATTAGCAATTCAAGGGAAACAGAGCCCAGCCCCAGCCATCCTCTACAGAGTGTGGTGATGCAGTGACAGGGCTTTAACATCTCACAACATGGAGTTCTGTAGCTCAGTGATTAGAGCACCTCGCCTGTGAGAGACCTGGGTTCGATTCCTGGCAGGGCAAAACTATGGCCAAGTTTCCTTACTCCACACGCTCCTGTTTACCTAGCAGTAAGTAGGAACTCGGTTGTTAGTCGATTGGTGGATCGCTTTTCCGGGGGTAATAATTCTTCCAATAAAAAAATTAAAATAAATATATCGGTCATTCAATCCACGACTGTTTGTGGGACACTGCTGTGCACAATTACCTGCCACGGTCCACCCACAAAAAAAGTCAATTCACTTTACAGTCTCGAAAACGTGATAAGGCACGATATCAAATGTAAATATTATTATTATCTCAACTGAAGGACAGCACCTCTAAATGCAGCACTCACCCAACACCGAATTGGAGTGTTAGCTGAAACTAAGTTCAAAGTTCTGATGTGGGGCTTGAACTCACAACCTTCTGACTTGGAGGTGAAGTAATTACATTAATATACATCGTCTATGGTGAGTTGTGCACTTTCTCATTCCTTTCAATGTTCATTTTGAGTCAACTTTTTTTTTCATGATCTTAACAGTGCTAAAAGCAAGAGATTTGTCCCAGTTCTCATCTTATTTCTGATCCAATACCTAACTCCCTGGCAGCATGGTTCAGAGTTGACTGCATATTTTTCTCCAGTTCATCCATCTTCTCTCTCAGTTCAGTTAGATTTGGGTCAAAAGACGGTTTCACCAAAAATTCGTGGTTTTCCACCTGGAAAAGTCAGCAATTGCACCTAGTTAGAATGTTCCCACTTCATTAATTCATTTATTACTGCAGGCACGATAGCACCCTGGAGATCACCATTACAGAGCTTTGCAGCAGGTTTCAACCCAGGATTGTTTCATTCTAACTCAAACATGAGGATCCACTGACTCAAAACTGATTTGGGTGATCAAGGGAAGAAAGGGCCTAAGGAAAGCGGGGGGCGGGCGGGGAAGAGAAGCATCCGGTTGGCACCAACCCAAGACAGTTCTGACTCATCTCCCACAACCAGCTATTGATGAGTAGCAAAGGCTTAAGCGTAGATGTCTAGCATCAAACAAACAAATTGCATTTATATAGCGCCTTTCACATCAGGAGGGAGTCCCAATGTGCTAGACAGTCAAGGGTTTGCACTGAGCTCAGAGTTGGATGCGCGATGTGTGTGTGTGGTGGGGGGAGGGGGGGGGGGGAGAGGGGGGGCGCGGGGTAGAGAAGGCAATCAAAGCTGGGGTCAAAGAGGAAGATCTTGACGCAGACCTTGAAAGAGACAGGGGAAGGGACAAGGCAAACAATCTCTGGGATGGAGTTCAAGAGGGTGGGGGCAGAAAGGCTGATGGCGAGGTGGGCCTCGTGAAGCAGACCTGCGCTGCCAAGTGGAGTAAACAAAGCTCTCTCAACTTCTTACATCACTGCTTTACACGTCAAACAGTATTGTGAAATATAAAAGGATTATTGTTTTACAGATTATGTCTCTCATTTGACCATGGCAATTTTCTATTTCATTAATCATTGTTCCTCAAATTTCCCTCTTGTAACTCTCTCAAACACAAAAGTTATTCTGCGTGCTATTTCTTTCTACTCCCTGCATCTTAGCATGGAACTCCATCTCTCAGGATTTCCTTCTTCTCGTAAGATACATGTTTTGAACCCTAAGCTTTCCATCAGCCAACTAGTTCTGCTTGTTCAATCACATCTGCTACTTCTTTTCAAATGTGGTAATATTTTGCAATTTGAGCCTTGACCTGGGCTTTTACATGACAACATGGTCAGAAACAATTTATTCTCATACCTGATTCATGTCTAAAGTTGTCTCAATCATTTCCTGAAACTTGGAGAAATCGGCGATTAGGTCTGTTAGCGGTGAGATGAATGCAGCTTTCAACATCATCTGATGCGTTCCTGTTAAAAACAATTTAGAATTCAGTACGTCACACTCTGAATATTGGGAGTCTTTCTTGTGACTTGCCTAGTAAGTGAGATTCATTCCAGTACATTACTTTCTAATTACCGAATAACACAAACCAGAAGCACGCTATTCTGTTCAATTTGCCTGCGGATGGTGCACAGCAACAGGAAGAAAATTAATAAATAGATCTTCAAGAAAAGTTTTAGACTGTAATTTTAAGATTAGCAATCTTTGTGCAACATACAGAGACCATGCTGGTTTTCTGACGCTTCCACAAAAGATACATCATTCACCACGGGAGGCGAGAGGGACTTGTGATTCACCTCGTTCACGAAACATCATGAATGCTTTCCCGCAGCTTTCGCCAGTGTACAATTCTTTCATTCTATTGATAATTTTAGACCGATTTTCAACCATTAGAACAAACACAGATCTGAACTATAAACAAGAGAACTTCTTAATACATCAACTGTTATCTCAATTTACATTTAGAAAGTAGCATTTATGTCAATACTTTTTTTAAAATTCTAAGCAGTTCTTCAAATTGTGCCTGGAGTGAGATTCCGAACTAAAGATCAGCCTGGAATGATGTTTAAAGGAATGATTAAAAGGATACGATCAAAAAGAGGCAGATAACATTCAGCGTTGGTCGAACAAAACGTTATTGATTTTACTTCCCTTTTGCTTCTAGAGGAAAAAAAAACTAAAATTTGAAATATATTAACTGCATTAACTACAACAGTAAGGCAACTTTTACCCCCAAACCCAATGAAAATAATTAACCCCCCTCTCTCTATCCTGCCCCCATCTACTGTCCAACAGTTTCAGCCATAAGAAACTTGAGCAAACTAGGGAAATGCCACACTGACTTCTAGCGGCTCAAAAGTGCCACTGCACCGCAGGACTTCTAAGCACTTCAATCGTGCTGTCGGAGCTCAATCTTCCACTCAAGAAAAGAAACCAGGAGGCTTAATCCTAACCATCTGTCAGGAGTCCAACTAGCAGTGATGCGTGTAAAACAGTGCCTAAAACAATTTAGTGCCAGCCAGGAAAAATCAAGAGCTGGCACAGTGACCAGTGATTATTTCTCATCAGAATTCTTCAGGTAGTTGCTTTGTCTCTGCGAACAAATTCCAAAAATCAGCCTCAATATATAGCGCAGTCATCCGGCGCACACAGAGAAATCCATCACCATGCTTGAGTCTCCGAACCAAACTGTTGAGAGCGTCACATAAAATGGTTCCCATTTGCCTAATATTTTTTTTGTTTGTCGACCGGGTGCCCGACACACGCGGAAGAAACCCATTACCGTGCTTTTGAGTATCCAACCCATGCATCCCCACCTACACCACGGGAATCCCAGAGATAGTTTGTTGGAATGGAATGCGCCCTCTCTCCCTGGAAGGACGCAAACTGCTTACCAAGGCTTGGGGACCCAACTGCTGGAGGTTAAATAGATATTAGCAGCCTTTTTAATTGAGAAAGCAATGCCAGAAAAGTTCAGCTTTCTGTTAAATGTGATTTATGGTTCAATCTCAAATGAATTTTTAACACCACGTGGTTTATTATTTTTTCCTCTTAATTCCTCCCCGAAATCTTCTCCAGCTTTGGGCTTGGACTTGGAAGGGAAAACCCATACTCAAGGACTCTGGCACTTCTCCAGAACTGTGGCCATTTGTCATGTGTACTGCAAGAGAGTGAGCAATGGTAAGCGTATGCTGGACGGGGGAGGAAAGAGTTGGCAGGTGGGAGAGTTGCAAGAACCTGACCTATCTTCACTCAATGTTCAGACATTACGGGCAGAGATTTGGAAACTGTGGCTGTTTTTCCTTTATTTTACTTCGAGTGATGTGGTTACTTGTTGTGTTCCTCCTGCCTACATCTGAATCAGTTGATCTTTTGTGACCATCAGCCACCTACCTCTGCCATACAAACATCAAAGGAAGAAAAGAATCTCTTGACAATAAACCTTTCAGTAATTTGACAATAACAGAATAGTAGGAAGAGAGTTGGCATTTCAATTTGATCTCAAAGCTTTACTAACCTTCAAAAACTGAGCAGCTGGCTTAATGGTCGTATAATTCATCATCAGATTTCTATTACCCTATATGTAATGAGTGCTTCAGATTTTAATGAAAGCTATTTAGCTGTCCAACACTTAAATGTAAACCTAACCCCTGCTGCTCGGCTCAGTTACACATTCCCTGCCATCTCAGTGCCACCATTGTTGGCTAAACCTTCAGATTTGATGCTTGTAACCTCCGGAACTCCATCCGTCTCGCCCCCTCTTCACATCCCACCCTAAAACCCACCTCTTCGACCACGCCTATAGCCCCCTCCCGCTTGCTCGGCCTCATCTCTGTGTAGTGTTCCGAAAGATTACCCTATGCGAGAGAGCTTTATAAATGCAAGTTAAAGATATGGCAGCCAATGATTACTACAATATATTTCTTCTTTGTTTCCTTCTGGGGGTCCAGTTGGCTGAATGTGGGTCACACTTCTGCATTTCTCTTTCGTGGCTAGTAAGGGAACGTGAAGATTTCATTCAACCTATCAAGCCCATTTCACCATTTTATTAGATCATGACAGAAATTTTAATCCCATTCCCCTGTCTTCATACATAATTTTTAATACCCTTACTTTCCAAGTATATTGATCAATCTATCTCCCTTTTAAATATCCCAATGGATTGTGCCATCATCATCTCCTTGTCCGAGCCTGAAAAATCAGTATTGGCAAACCGTTTGATCATCACAACAGAACCCAATGCTTTCCTCACTCGATGTCCCACACGTGCATTTTTTTTAAAAAAAGACACTGGATAATAATAATAATCCTTGCATTTGATATAGCGCCTCATCACATCTTCCAGTCGTCGCAAAGCACTTCACAGAATATACTGTAAAGTGAATTGACTGTATATTTGTGGGCGAATTGCGGCAGCCAATTGCGCACAGCAGCGTCCCATAAACAGTCATGGATTGATTGATCAAAATTATTATTTTTTTAGAAAGGGTTTATTATTACCCACGGAAAAGCGATCCACCAATCGACTAACAACTGGGTTCCTACTTACTGCTAGGTAAACCGAGGCGTGTGGAGTAAGGAAACTTGTCAAACATTTCGCCCTGCTGAGAATCAAACCCAGGTTCTCTCACTTACGAGGCGAGTGCTGTAATCACTGAGCTACAGGACTCAACTAATAATAATCCTTGCATTTGATATAGGGCTTTTCATGTCGGGAGGACGTCCCAAAGTGCTTCACAGACACACTGTAAAGTGAATTGACTGTATATTTGTGGGCGAACGCGGCAGCCAATTGTGCACAGCAATGTCCCACAAACAGTCGTAGATTGAAAATGACCAATTTATTATTGTTTTTGGTTTTGGAGGGATTATTATTAGGCTCTGTGTGGAGTAAGGAAACTTGCCCGAGGGTTCGCCCTCTGCCTGGAATTGAACTCAGGTCTCTCGCTTGCAAAGCGAGTGCTCTAACCACTGAGCTACAGGACTCCACGAGTCCCTAATAGTCATCATAGACTGGATTAAAGTGTTCATAACTAGTAGATGTGTATTTATTTCAGCATTTTCTCCAGAGTGGAGTAATATTCAAAACATGCTGATTGTATACATTATTTATTTATGTTAAATATGTGTATACATTTTTGTTTATATTTATTTTATTATTATAATTTAAGGATTTAACATTGTATCTACAATTATATTTAAAAACATTTGCTCATTCCCTCAAACCATATGAAAATATTTCCCACCAGGCTAGATACTAGCAACAACAAAATTACATTTATAAAGCGCCTTTCACGTCAGGAGGACAAACAACATCCGCAGTCCCTGCTGGCAGCTCAGTGGCCCTATATCTCAGATACACATCTGTAATGGCACTTATCCCAAGAGAGTTGCTTTCTGCTTCCATGCCAACTGAAGCAACCTGTTAGCTTGGCTACCATTGGCAACTAAATAAAACTAACATTTTGCCCACAAAATACAGTCAATCCACTTTATAGTATATTCTGTGGAGCACTTTGAGACGTCTCAATGATGCGATAAAACGCTATATCAAATCAAGGATTATTATTGTTACTAGAATGAAGGAACAAGCAGATTTATCTTCCTTACCTTCATATCTCTCTAGCACCTGCACTACATTTGGGAGTTGATTCACAGCCTGGTAGATCCGGTGGCAGTCTTGTAGGTGTGCTGTATGACGCTGGAACTTCTTTGATAGTCGGCTTATGTCAGGAAATCGCCGCAGCAAATCCTCCTGTAGATTCTGCCGAAGCTCTGGGTCTTCCACAAAGGCCTCCACCAGGTTAAGCCTTCATTATGCAATTAAAAATAATGCATCAGTTAATAGGTTGATTGGTCACTTTGGGAGCTAAGCCTAATTACAGTGAGGGGCAAATCAAAGGGAACTGACTGCAGCTTTCGTCACCATTCATTCAACCTTCATTTACAAATATTTGTACAGCAGTAGAGTAACCGATGTAAGATATTATTCAGCTTAGTTTTTTTCGGGGGTGGGGGGTTTTGGGGGTGCAGAAATGTAAAAATAATAGACACTAATACTTGAAAAGCCCACAGTATGAGAGAAGTGTCCCTGAATTTGCAAAGGAATCCATTCTGTTACACGTGCACACACGCACGGAGAGAGAGAGACTGAAACAAAGCAAGACTGAGCCAGGCTGACGCAACAACTATTACAGGGGAGACCTGTAGCATGTTGGTTAGAGCACTCGCCTCGCAAGCGAGAGGATCTGGGTTCGATTCCCTGGAGGGCAAAAACCTTAAGCAAATTTCCTTACTCCACCCACACGCGACTGTTTTCCTAACAGTAAGTCAGGAACCTGCTTGTTAGTTGATTGGCAGATTGCTTTCTGGGGGTGATAATGCCTCAAAAATTATATAATAACATGGTCACTCAATTGGCTGCCGTCTTTCGCCCACAAAATGCAGAGTCACTACACTTAATATATTCTGAGAAGCGCTTTGAGACCTCTCAACAACGTGATAAGGCGCTATATCAAATGCAAGGATCATTTATTACAAACAGGTTGCTTAAAGTTGTTTCACGTGACTGCAGGTGATCCACACAAAAGAAAAATGACCAGGAGAGGGCACCATCGCCTTACTTTCAGATCTTAGCACACTTCATTAAAAAAACCACGACGTTTTGTGAATACTAAATACTGTATTTAAATGGTACAGGTCATGTCAACAGTCAGTACATTAGCCAACACACTGACAATAACAATTCCCATGATCAGGTCAGAAATTAGTCATTGCGTAGAATCTGTAGGGATTTAGGGGGACTAGAGGTGCAGCTTGTGATTTAGAGAAATAATATGCATAAAGTAAAATCATCCTTGCATTTGATATAGTGCCTTTCAGGTCAGGAGGCCTTCTCAAAGCACTACAGGAGTTACTATAAAGTGCAGTGACTGTATTTCGTAGGCACCAAAATACAGCAGTAGCCTTTCGTGACCATTGGCAAAAGGATGATAACCGAGGCTTCGGGAAACATTCTCAATGTAAGTACTGAACAACTGTACTAAACATACGTATGCATCTTTTTTATTACAGTATGCATACAAGAGGGAAATGGAGAAGAAGTGGTTTTGGTGTACAAAAAGTGGAACTGATATTAGACACATCGGATATCAAGGTGCTGCCCAGTATAGCACAGACCCAAAACTATCTTCTACAGTACTTCAGGTAACTGGTTTAAAGCAAATAAAGTACATTTTAAAAATAATATGGCTACAGTCAGAACTCCATGCCTTGGCAAACAAATTTTGACATCCAATCAACTTAGCTCTAATAAGCTTTCCGAATGTGGAATGGTGAGACTCTGTTGGACAGAAAGATGTCAACTAAACAAAGCCATCTCTCACAGGACATGTCCTTTTTATTTTTATATATATCACACACACACATATATACTTCTTACAGTTGATATCGCACCTTTCACATCAGAAGGAAGTATCAAAGTACTGTACAGATATACGAATGCATACGTATGTTTATTACAATTGTTCAGTATTTATGATGAGAATATCGCCTGAGGCCTCTGTGATAATCCTTTTGTCAATGGTCACAATCATACAATCTCTAGCTGTCGTAACTGGTTGGCTGTGGGTAGAGGCTCAGACACATATGGAACAGTATATCTGCTAACGTCAGGTTGACAGGAAGACTTGATTGAAAGTTCTCCCTCACCTGAGCAAAATCCAACTGCTCTCGTTACTTTCTTTACCCAGAAGGATAACCCCAACCACAAACTTCATGGAAATCTACCCCGTTTCCTTGTGAAACTAAGGCTCCAGTCAAATTTGTACTTTGCATATTCAAATTATTTTTCATATTGTGCTTAGCAATATGACCTGTATTGTGGAAGTTGTGTTATGAACTGCAACAAGTCACCTTACCTGCTTCAGTTTAACTTCTTCCCCAAAAAACATCCACTTTTCACAACCATAGACAAGCAGAGGTAAAGTCTCAGTTCCTTTAAAATTTAACTCTCGGTTCACCCAAATATTACCCATGAGTAGGCAAATATTCTAAAGTGGAAGCATATTTTACTTAGCTGCCCCCAATCTAAATGTTATAGCATGGTGGTGGGTTTCTCCATGTGTCAGACATCCGGCTAACCAAAAAAAACTAGGGAATTCCAATACAGAATTCCGAAACCCGGCAGCCAATTGCGCACAGCACTTACTGACCAATTCTACGGGTTGTCCTACAGGCAGTTGTGGATTGAGTGACCAAACCCTTATTTAATTTATTTGTTTCCTTCCTTGAGGGATTATTATCAGGCGTGTGGAGTCAGGAAACCTGCCCAAGGTTTCGCCCCGCCGGGAATCGAACTCAGATCTCTCGCTTGCGAGGCGAGTGCTCTAACCACATATTTCTCATTGACACAGAACCATCAGGACAGTGGAACGTACCTCAACAACAACAACATTCCATTTGTAGAGCGCCTTTCACGTCGGGAGGACGTCCCAAGGCGCTGGACAGTTGGGTCAGGACCCGAGGCTTGGGGGGGAAAATGGTCAGGGTGAGGGGAGGGAAGGGAGGGAGCGAGGAGGGGGGAAATGGTCAGGGTGAGGGGAGGGAAGGGAGGGAGCGAGGAGAGGGGAAATGGTCAGGGTGAGGGAGGAGGGAGGGAGCGAGTAAATCAATACCTCCCAAATCAGTGATGTGTGCTTAGAATTGGTCAGCGAGTGCGTGATTAGTGAGAAAAGCAAACCAGCAGCCATGAAGGGCAAAGCACCTCAGCAAGTTATTGTTTAATCACAGGATTGACTGTGGTAAGAAAACACTGACAGACAAAGCTCACGTGCTGCCTTTATGGTGATGAGATAATCCACATCACTGTTACCCCTACAGAGGCCTCCTCTGGAACCAGAAAAGCTCCCCGGGCATCTCTCATGACAACGGAACACACTTTCCCCATCTTTAAAATAATAATAGCAATATCGCTCTGATTCCCACAGTTCTTTTTTAAAAATGACGACTGTATTCCAATTGCATTTACATTTTATTGTCTTTATATTGTGGGGATCCTTCAAACAAGTAATTCAGCAATACCCAGAGGCTGCCACTGCTCTGTATTCTGCCATCACCTCGGCAGAAACACGCAAGTCACAAATCACAGCTTGTTCTGGCAGCAGACTTTCCCTCGTCTGAAAAGACGATATGAAATCTGTATCGAGCCTTAATACCCCACCACAGACTGCTACAAACAAATCGCCTCGAGTTCCTTCCAACAAAACTAATACGGCAGACCCTCACAAGTTTTCCTGAGCAGCTCACATGAGCTCCTAAAGTGGGTAACTCCACAGTTGACGGGATTTGTGAGAAACAATACTGCACCGGCATGCCCTACATATTTTACCTGGCTTTGATCCTCTGTTAATATTTAGCCAACCTGCATATTTATGTGAACTGAGGGTCGTCTTATCCCTGCACCTACAAAGTAACTGAAGCTGCGCCTCAATTAATCCTTTGGGGCCCTCGGTACATTTTCAGAGATCTTGAACAGTAAGAACACTGTTTGCCTGCCACCCCGGTCTGGAGTGGGGGAATCCTGTCATTCCGTGACAATGCTTCCATTCGTTGCTTTCTTTTTCTCTCAACAATTTACCCCCTCCTTTCCTGAAGACACTAAATTCCTTTTTTCACCACTTCTTTTTGGGTACAGTTCATATGGGCCTTCTGGTACTTCATCCAAGTGACAATTCATAGGCAGCCAAGCAGCTATGATCAGCGCGACACTGTGGCTGTGATCAGCCTACCGCAGAGTGCCGCAGAATCCTCAAGCCTTTCTCATCTCAGTAAGTAGCTTCTGAATTTAATAATAATAATAATGATCCTTGCATTTGATATAGCGCTTTTCACGTCGGGAGGACGTCCCAAAGCGCTTCACAGAACACACTGTAAAGTGAATTGACTGTATATTTGTGGGCGAACGCGGCAGCCAATTGCGCACAGCAATGTCCCACAAACAGTCGTAGATTGAAAATGACCAATTTATTATTGTTATGTTATTGTTATTGATATGTTATTGATAGGGGACACACAGCAGGTCAGAGTTAGCTGAGTGGAGGAGACCATCAGAGGAGTGCAGTAAGTGAGGATCGGAGACAGGGAGGTGCTACAATGCGAATGGATTTATAGGTGAAGGTGACAATCTAACACTTTTCTGCCTATGTTTTTAAGATTTTGAGGAAACAATTTAGGCGCTGTTTAGACCAATAGCCATTAGATATCAATGTATTTAAGAGGAAACATGATACATACATGATGGAGCAGGGATGACACTGTAGATGTGCATAAATTAAAAGGACAAAAGAACCCACTGGAATAAAACAGTGCAACAATTGTGCACCAGTTATATGAGAACCAAGGAAAGCACCAATGAAATTAGCACTAGAGTGCAGTACAGCAGTCAGATCAATAGTTGCATCGCTGTAGCTCTACCCATATAATCACGTCAAACAGTGCATAGTGGCTGCACAGCAATCGAAACGAACAGCAGCACTATTGTGCCACCAGTCGACATACAGTACGAAGCAAACTGGGAAAAATCAAGATTCCCACTTTTCTATCAACCTCTTTAATGTTTAATATTTAATGTTTGCTTGGTTTTTTTTTGCTCTGCATAAGAGGAAGTTGTGGACAGGGAGGTTCACGAGCAGTGACTTGTTAGTGGTGTCAATTTCCTTAACACAACCAGAAAGAATATTTATTTGGGCACGTCTGCTGTTACTTTGGTGGGGGGGGGGGGGGGGAGTTTGTATAAGCAGGAGCAACAGCTGCATCTGTTAAACTATAGACCCACAGCGGTACAGAAAAGCATGGTTCCTGGCTGGTTATCAGTAATCAAACACGTCTGCATTTTAATCTTTACATGAAATATGACATTCAGCCATAACTCGTACTTGGGTAAATGTTTCATAGGAAAACTCTTCAGAGTGAAAGCCTGAGCAAGATGGAGGGGGGAAAAGTCAAGAGAGGCGACCAAATGAGCAGCGGAAGAGGTACGATTTTAGAAGGGTTTTTTTAAAAGCAGAAAGGGAGTGTGTGAGGGGAGCTATTTAAGGAGAGAAATCCAGAATACAGAAGCAAAATGGCTAAAAGCTCACTGCCAATAGCAGGGAAGCAGATGGGTGTAAGGGGCAGAGCACTTGAAACAGCCTGAGCCGGCGGAGTGGAGTAAGTTGGAAGATCACTGCAGTAAGGTAGGGCAAGGGTATGATGTTAGAATGATGATCTTGAACCCAATCCACTGGGGGAAAGTGGAGTGGAACTGGGATGTAGGTGATATGCTTGAAGTGCCTGATGTGGGAAATTTCAGGCTGCAATGCTCTGGATAATCTGGAGCTCGTGGAGGGCTGAGATCAATCAGACAATGAGGAGGGCATTGGAGAAATCAAGTCTAAGAGTGATGAAGGCATGTACGGGGTGTGGAGGAGTGGTGGGGGAAGAGTGTTCAGCCGCGAGGCAGAGGTAGAGCCAGATGCAGGCAATGTTTTGGAGCTGGTCTAGACCCAGATAATAATAATAATAATAATAATAATCCTTGCATTTGATATAGCGCTTTTCACGTCAGGAGGACGTCCCAAAGCGCTTCACAGAACACACTGTAAAGTGAATTGACTGTATATTTGTGGGCGAACGCGGCAGCCAATTGCGCACAGCAATGTCCCACAAACAGTCGTAGATTGAAAATGACCAATTTATTATTGTTTTTGGATTTGGAGGGATTATTATTAGGCTCTGTGTGGAGTAAGGAAACTTGCCCAAGGTTTCGCCCTGCCTGGAATTGAACTCAGGTCTCTCGCTTGCAAAGCGAGTGCTCTAACCACTGAGCTACAGGACTCCAGATGAAAGGCTTGAAGGAGCTTAAAGGTGAACTGAGGGTTAAACAAACTGTCAAGATTGCATAATGGCTCCACAAGCTGCAGTAAACAAGGCAGGGAAGTCGATGGAATTAAAAATCAGAGGTGAGGAGGGGCTGGCGGAAGCTTTGTTTTGTCAACATTCAGTTGAACAAAGTTAAAGCTAAAAGAGTACTTCAGACTAAAAGGGGCATTCTGACTAAACCATTTCTCTTTTGTTCCAAAAAAAAAGGTTTGAGGAGGGTGAGCCACGCAATTACCCTCCCCCCCCTGGAGTAAAAATGTAATTTATTGAAACTACCACACCCCATTCTTCACTGTGGGAATTGCACCCAAGACCTGTTCAAACTAGTCGCAATGCAAGCTGCTATTCAAGGTGTACTCATTGCCTGAGGCAATACACAGTGACACGAACTGCAACCAGTCAAAACACATGGAAATATGGTCCTGGGTTAAGTGCAGTAATAATAATAATAATAATAATAATCCTTGCATTTGATATAGCGCTTTTCACGTCGGGAGGACGTCCCAAAGCGCTTCACAGAACACACTGTAAAGTGAATTGACTGTATATTTGTGGGCGAACGCGGCAGCCAATTGCGCACAGCAATGTCCCACAAACAGTCGTAGATTAAAAATGACCAATTTATTATTGTTTTTGGTTTTGGAGGGATTATTATTAGTAATTCATAAGAGTCTCCGAACTGGACCAGGGGTTCTCAAACGTTCTGGGCTCAAGGCCCCTATGACAAAAGTCTTCCTGACTGACAACCCTCACGCAATAAATCCATAGAAATGGAGTACTTTGCTTTAATATAAGCAACATTTAAAAAAAAGGAATTAAAAATAAAATAAAAAATGAATGCTCTTCACGCTGCCTGGTACCTCCCACTCCGACGCTTCCCGCAAGTTAATTGTAGACAATGTTAACGTAGATAAGTACACCTCTGGAGATTTGAGACACACATTAGTCAGCAATCCCAAGCAAAGCACACACTTCAGGTAATCAAGACTGTCTTTCTTTCTTTGGAATCCATTGCTGAACTGATTGCATCATTCATACCTCCTACTCCATCACTCTTCGGCTCTCATTCCTTGTACAACAACAATATTACATTTGTAAAAGCATCTTTCACATCGGGAGGACGTCCCAAGGCGCTGGAACAGACAAGAGTTACAGCCACGTGAGAGGCGACGTGGAGGGCAATGGGAAGAGTAGAGTGAGAGGTACAAGGCAGCGTGGAGAGCCACCGGAAGTGAGGCGGAGTAGGAAATATGAAGCAGCTCAGAGTGACCTGAAGAGAGGTGGAGCGGGAGCTATGAGGCATTGCAGAGGAACAGGCAGGTGGCAACAGCGCAATGCTTCCCCCTTCCCCCCCAAACCATCTTGTGGCCCCCCAGGAATCCATAGCCCCAGGTTGGGAACCCTTAAACTAGCCTATGTAACTGTAGAATTATACACATTACTACACTCAACATTTTTTCATATGGTCTCATGGTATAATCAGGCGCGATAGCGAATGCAAGGATTATTATGTTATTATAAGGAAGCTCATCTTCACCCCAAAAAGATTCCTAGAGCCACCGTATTGACTGTTCATTTTTGCTTATTTGCAGTGTTTTGGAAAATATTGGTTCTTCAATGGAAAAGGGGACAGTTTGCAAAACACAAGAACAGGCGTACAGTGTTGACTTAGAGGAAATAAAATGTTGTACATACACACGGAATACTATGGAAATCAGCCCATATCAGGAAGAAGATAGAACAATACTGCGCTTTCTGATTCTTTCACTGACAGGGCATCCAGTCTCACACTTCTCTGCCTTAATACAGCAGCATTATGCTGTCATTCATTCAGAAGTTAACATTTCAGTCAGTATATTCTGTGACGTGCTTTGAGACGTCTCAACGACGTGATAAGGCATTATATCAAATGCAAGGATTATTATTATTATAACCTCACTCCAGACTCCCTAAAACAAATGGCTTTAATGCCCATTAATTTAACTAAATAGGAAGCTTGTACTGGGAACATAGTAAATGAGGTAATATACAGTAAAAATGTTCCCTTGTCCTTCCATCCCACTTTATTAGGATTTGTTAGGATTATTAGGGCTAATTTTTTTTAAAATTCAGTTTATGATCCATTTCAAATTTTCCTTTAAGTAAATCGTACCTCTCCTCAATTCTGTTCTTATCCATCAGGGGTTGCTTGATCCACTGGTTAACTAGGCGCTGTCCCTGAGGGGTCCTGCATTTGTTCAGCAGGCCGGCCAGCGACTGTGTACCATGGGCGTCTTCTGACGAACCCTGGGAGGAAGGGGAGAACAAAACAATTAAATGAGAGACTCCAGCTGGTGAGAAAAGAATGTTCCTGATCCCAATCCCCCCACATTTTGAATGGATGAACCACCATAGTGCACTGACCAAGTGAGGAAAAGGTGGGCAACGTACAGGATAGGGATCTCGATGCTGCTACTTTCACCAAAATAAACCCCATAAAAGCAGGTCCAAACACATTCTTTAAATGTAGCTTACAGATTCTCAGTTTAAATTACAAGGAACAACGAATGCTTGTTCTGATATAGATCATGGGGAAATAATTCTCTTTATATATTCTTAGAACTGTAGTCATAGGACTCCAAAAGGCAGCCCAGCACGTAGCTACTCTATTGACCCGATCACGCTGGAGGAACTCAGCACACCTCATCACTAGCGGTGATGTTCTGGTCATAATATTAATCCTTACATTTGATACTGTTCTTTGGGGAGGACGTCTCACTCAGTGCCTCACAAGATACACTGCAAAGTGCAATGACTTGCTTTGGAGACAAACATGACGGCTAATTTTGCACACAAGGCAAATATTAGAGCAGTGGTGGCCAACTGAGCAGCCTCCCCGAATATTTGCAAGAGCCTAGGTGAGTCCATGATCGATCAGTCGTGTGTTTCTGTATTTTTTTCCAATCAAGAAATGTATTCTGATGGCCAACTATAAAGGTTGGCCACCACTAGATTCGGGTTTCTAAGACTCGGGATTGGGTAATAATAATAATCCTTGTATTTGATATAGCGCCTTATCGCATCTTTGAGGTGCAATTCCTAAAACAGCGATAAGCACCTTGTTCACTCCTTCAACAAACTACTGTAACCTCTCTGTTGCAGTGTAAGGCACGATCAAAACTCCTCTTTGCTACATGCTCCACTGATTAAGCTAATGTTAACGGTTCGGAATGTCGTTCCCCCTCTCTCCCCAAGAGAACAACTCAATCTTTACATTCGAGTGCAGAGGTCAATCCTCACCTGGAAGAGGTTGAGCGCAAGCACAGCTGCATTGTCCAGCCTCATGTACTGGTTCAGGTCAAACGTCATCAGCTGGTACTGCCCAAAGTTAGTTTCATCAGAGAGGAGCTCCAAATATTTGATGACAGCAGAAACCGAGGCCATGGCAACCTTTTTTTAATATACAAAACAAAATGCATTAATCGCGCAAACAAGTGAAAGACAACAGCTTTGCTCCCTTATAAATTAGCAAACAGACTGGGGTAACCCCCAGGCACTGCAGTGGTGACAAAATAGAAAGTCAGTCAGGAGTATTCATCTTTCCAAATACCCCACCGGATGGTTTTGTGTGCACACGCACAGATACAGTGGGCTGTGTTCCCTAGTCACAAGAGAACCCCACCTCTTTCGTTGCACTTCAGCAGGCATGGCTCATTATCAAGCATGGGACGAATCTCGTCACCTCACATGCTATATACTGTAAATGTCTCCCCTATCCAAGCCTAAAGGTCTCTGAGGCAAACTGTTAAACATACTACCACTGCCCCAGTTAGCTGCCTATACAACATTTCCTGTCTTGAAGATCCATTAAACAAATGTAAAATGATGACCTAATTTGTACACAAATAGCAGTTTTCTCTTTTAAACAGATATTTCTGACCGAAACAATTGTTGAGTCAATCAGCTGAGAAGAAGTGCTTCAAATTTGCCTGGAAAAGGCAAATATCTCCTTTGCCAGATTACAATAAAGCTTTGTTTATCTATTTAAATGGGTTTATTGATTTCACGAGTGATATCAAACTGAGTCAGAAGTACACCTGGGGCAAAAGCATTAAATATCAACGGTATCTGCACCCACCTTAAGAGGGATTAAGCAAACATGGATGTCATTGCTTTCGAAAACTGACAAGCTGCTACAGAACCAAATACTATTAGATCGGAATGCAGATGGTAAATGCCAATTTAATGTAGCGGTACTAATAACAAGTCATTGCTGGTATTTTTTTTCATTGTAATGCGATCATTACATTTATCTCACGACGCTTACCAGCTGCAATTTTGAATGCGATAGTACGGGTTACTGACAAGGGTACAGGAGCCCTGGTTTATATTTCCTTAAATGGCTGAGATCAATTCATGGCTGTACCAAATGAGCCACCGGGCCAGCTCAAGAGGATAATGATAATAATAATCCTTGCATTTGATATAGCACTTTATCACATCTTTGAGGTGTCTCAAAGTGCTTCACAGAATATACTGTAAAGTGAATTAACTGTATATTTTGGATGGCCTTGATGCTCAAAATGTTTCGAGGAGCCTGGATATAATGCTTTTTTAGAGAGAGGACTGGCTTCCCAGGTGGTTTATCTGTCTAATTTACTTCTCCACTGAACAGTGACTGAAGGACAGTTACAAACCTGCTTTTCCATCTCTGGCAAAGCAGCACTGGACACCTGCTCCCCTTTCTTTGCTTTCAGCAGGCGGTTCAAATCCTGAACGATATCTTTATTTGTAAATTCATTTTTCTTTCGGTCAGTTATCAAGATGCCTCCTCGTTGAACTACCTGTATCACGCAGAAAACAGTTACCAACTCAGTCAAGTTGGACATTTCCAAACACAAAACTCAGCATTTCATGAGCAAACGTGATAGCCATTTTGCACACAGCAGTCTAAGAGACGAGAGAATTAATGGCCAGGAAAACTCCCTTTAATTTTTCAAACAGTTTATCATCCACCTGGAGATGGCAGACAGGACTCACCTGAAACACCTCTAAAATTCAGTTCAGATGAGATGCTCAGATCCTCACATGGGAGATGAACTTACAAGCTCCTGATCAAGGGGGGGAAAGAGTTCTACCAAGTGAACCAAGCTGACACCATAAAGAGTGCTTGCAAGTCAGTGCTGTGCACCAATTCAGAGTATTGTCATTGGACTGTACTGGATTATCCAGGTTTGTGTAAATTGGATCTCACTCCACCAAAACCAGATTTAGTCATCACTGACAACAGCACTTACTGTCTCTCCCGATTGTGAGAGTTCCAGGTGAATTACAAAGGATAGTACAAATCTACCCTATAACTCTCTCGAATGCTAAATATCCTTCCTGCAGTACAGCTACCAGAACTGTACACAGTTCTTTATATGTGGTCTAATCAAGATTTTATATACATTTAACATTACTTCCCTATTTTTACACTATTGATCTGGATATAAAACCAAGAACTCGGTTTACATTCTTTGTGGCTAGGTCCATCTATGCTGCTACTTTGAGAGCTGCAAATATAAATGATTAGATTCATTTGTTCCTCTACCATTCAGGGTAAGGGTAAAATTACTGGACAGTCTACACTGTTCAAAAGTGTGTCTGGGTGCAATAGGGGGACAACCTTCTGTTCTACTATAATGGTAATCTTCAATAGAGCATGAAAAAAACCCAGCAAAGTGATGTCAAGCATTTCTCAGACTTTATTGTTGACTGGCATATATCCAGTTGGTCTTCACGTTCACCCAGTTTCTCCCCATTAATTTTGTCAGGGATATTCTCAGTTCTAGTCTATGCATTCATTAACTAATTCTCTGAACCATATTCAACGAACATCAACTCCATTGTTATTGACCAAGATGAATAGTACCAATATTATTTAACCCTACATGCTTCAAGTACCAGGTACAAATGATGCTTGTATCTTATTTCTCCACTCTTAATTTCCAAAAGAAAATTACCTGACGGAGTTTGGCCATATCTCCTGCCGTCTCAGAACTCGATAATATACACTCCTTCGGCCCAATCTGCACCAGCATCGCCTCAAGGTTCGAAAACTGATCACTGTCTGGAAACTCGCACACTCCTAACTTCCGGAGTGTTGAGTCAATATAGCCAATTCCAACAACCCTTTGTCCATCTGCAGTGCCCAGTTTAACACCAACAACACCAGCTGCAGCAGACATGTCACTGCTGCCAAAGAGAATCTCTTCAAACTGGGTCAAGTTACCAGGAGAAGCCTAGAGTAGTGGGTACAAAAATAAGATTACGAAAAGAATATAGGGACACAATTCATCAAATTTTGCAATTGTAGATACATTGGAAGAATCAGTTTGTCTCAGTATTGTAGAAATTAATAATCTAATTTAACATCTTCCTCAAACGCATTTTTTACTCTTCTTCCTAAGATGTGCATATACACAACAACTTACATTTGTATAGCACGTTTCACACTAAGAGGACGTCCCAAGGCACTGGACAGTCAGGGATTTGGATCCGATCAGGGAGGAGGGGTGGAAGGTGGGGATAGGTGGATGACTGAAGGTGCAGTCGAAGAGGAGTCTTGAGATATGCCTTGAAGGAGGCAAAAGAGGGAGCAAGGCAAATGGACTGTGGGGATGGAGATCATGTGGGCTGAAGGCCCGACCACCAATGGTGGGGTTAGGGGATGTGGAGCAGGCCGGAGCCTCCTGAGCAAAGAGTTCGATATATACACATACCTTGCACGCCAAATACCAGTCATTCTCCTTTGAGGACTTACTCCCAGCTTTATTCCTGTAAACCTCAACACGGTATTGTCGGATCAGCAACAGATCCCTGACCAACGATTCAAAGTTCATCTTACTGAGTACAACACTTTCCAACTTATTGCTTCCTGCAAAATGAGAGAGAAAATATGGAGGAAAGAGACCAGCAATTACTTGAGACATCTACATATCAGACAATACAGTTGTATTTGGTATTGGTTCAAGTTTAGTGAAATGTTTCATGAACACAAACACTGTCAGTCTAAACCACCACCCCAACAACACTACGTTCTGACATGGGCTTCAACGTACAATCTTCCAACCGAGACACAAGAGCACAGCCCCACTAAACCAAACTCAAAAAAGCATCATATCCAATGCAAGGATGAGTGACATTATTTTGATCACCTAAATAATGTGCCTCTGCATCTTCTCCCAAACAAAACAAAATTCAAACCCTGCACGGAGTTGTGTGGGACTAAGATCGGTGCGGTTTGGTGTTTGAACGCATCAGAGCTCCTGCAACTCCTCTGAACCAGTTAACCCTCGAACAGAACCAGGGTTTCAAGGCCAAAATGTGCTGCTGCAAAGTCAGATTCATATGACGGTTCCCTCCTCCCCCCCCCAACTAACTCGTGTGGATGCAATATAAGAAACATGCGACGCGCGATATTGCAACCGTGGCACCTGACTCGCAGACCGCGTGACAGAAAAATGCACCGAGCGACCGGCTCCGAAATGGTTTAACAGGGCCGCAAATGAATGAAGCTGAGGAGTGCGGCTGAAATATGGCGCTGGAGAGAGAGAGACAGAGAGAGAGAGAGGGTTGGGGGTGGGACAGGTTCACAATGTATACAGCACAACCTCCTCGCGTCGTGGAATGAGAATAATAATAATAATCCTTGCATTTGATACAACACCTCATCTTTGCCTTCGAGGGCGTCTCAAAGCGCTTCACGGGATATAACGGAAAGTGAACCGACCGGGTGTGGATTACTGCAAAATATCCACAAAGTACAACTGGAAAGGTACATACACACACACACACACATAAACACAGGCAATGTGAGCACACACAGCCATGTACACATGTCCCTCCCCCCACCACCGCGGGGGCCTCACCCCCCAATCCGTGGGGCCTCCCCCCCACCACCACCACTGGGCATAACCGCGCCCCCACCCCGTGGGGCCCTCTCCCCCCCACCCCCCACAGCATGTGGGGTCCTCCCACAGCCCGTGAGGCCCTCCCACAACCCGTGAGGCCCTCCCACACCCCGTGAGGCCCTCCCACAGCCCGTGAGGCCCTCCCACAGCCCGTGAGGCCCTCCCACAGCCCGTGAGGCCCTCCCACAGCCCGTGAGGCCCTCCCACAGCCCGTGAGGCCCTCCCACAGCCCGTGAGGCCCTCCCACAGCCCGTGAGGCCCTCCCACAGCCCGTGAGGCCCTCCCACAGCCCGTGAGGCCCTCCCACAGCCCGTGAGGCCCTCCCACAGCCCATGAGGCCCTCCCACAGCCTGTGGGCCCCCCCCCGCAGTGAGGCCCTCTCCCCCCCCGCAGTGGGGCCCTCCCCCCCCGCAGTGAGGCCCTCCCCCCCCCGCAGTGAGGCCCTCCCCCCCCCGCAGTGAGGCCCTCTCCCCCCGCAGTGAGGCCCTCCCCCCCCGCAGTGGGGCCCTCTCCCCGCAGTGAGGCCCTCTCCCCCCGCAGTGAGGCCCTCTCCCCCCGCAGTGAGGCCCTCCCCCCCCGCAGTGGGGCCCTCTCCCCGCAGTGGGGCCCTCTCCCCCCCCCGCAGTGAGGCCCTCTCCCCCCCCCACCGCAGTGGGGCCCTCTCCCCGCAGTGGGGCCCTCTCCCCCCCCCGCAGTGGGGCCCTCTCCCCGCAGTGGGGCCCTCTCCCCCCCCCGCAGTGGGGCCCTCTCCCCCGCAGTGGGGCCCTCTCCCCCCCCCGCAGTGGGGCCCTCTCCCCCCCCCGCAGTGAGGCCCTCTCCCCCCCCACCGCAGTGAGGCCCTCTCCCCGCAGTGGGGCCCTCTCCCCCCCCGCAGTGAGGCCCTCTCCCCGCAGTGAGGCCCTCCCCCCCCGCCCCACCTGTGCCGAGGTACTTGATGACGCCGCTGGTTTTGAAGACCTCCTTGGCGGCGAAGATGGCATCCTTGCCGTGGACGGTGTAGTAGTCGCTGCGCTCGAACACCCTGAGGGTGGTGCGGGGCTTGTCCGGCAGGGAGCTGTGGAAGGCCTGCAGCCCGCCGTCCTGCCCGCCCTCCCAGCTCAGCTTCTCCCGCGGCTGCACCGCCATAACGGTCACCTCGCGCGCTCCTCGCTCGCTGCGTCACAGGTCACAGGTCAGCCCAGCGCGGGAGAAGTCGGCCTGGGGCGGGGCGTGTGTGCTTCGTGGGCGGGGTCAGAGGGCGGGGCTGTGTTCTTGATGGGCGGGGCCAGGGGCGGGGCTGTGTTCTTGATGGGCGGGGGCGGGGCTGTGTTCTTGGTGGGCGGGGCCAGGGGGCGGGGCTGTGTGTTTTTGATGGGCGGGGTCAGGGGGCGGGGCTGTGTGTTTTTGATGGGCGGGGCTTGTGTGTGTGGCTGTGTATCTATGTGTATGTGGATATGTATGTGTGTCTTGATATGGACATGTATGTGTATGTATGTGTGTCTGTATATGCACGTGTGTGTGTCTGTATATGCATGTGTGTGTATGTATGTGTGTCTGTATATGCATGTGTGTATGTATGTATGTGTGTCATATGCACGTGTGTGTGTGTGTATGTGTGTCATATGCACGCGTGTGTGTGTATGTATGTGTGTCTGTATATGCATGTGTGTGTGTGTGTATGTATGTGTGTCTGTATATGCATGTGTGTATGTATGTATGTGTCATATGCACGTGTGTGTGTATGTATGTGTGTCATATACACGTGTGTGTGTGTATGTATGTGTGTCTGTATATGCACGTGTGTGTGTATGTATGTGTGTCTGTATATGCACGTGTGTGTGTATGTATGTGTGTCTGTATATGCACGTGTGTGTGTGTGTGTATATTTTACCGCCCGAGTACACAGCCAACCCCACTTTACAGTGGATTACAAGGCGGCGCTATATCAAATGCAAGGATTATTACACAGCATTATTTATTGTTATGTATGTTTGTCTGTGTATGAAGGTGTGTGTCTGTCTGTATTTGTACATGTACACACGAACATGCACGCACACACGCAGTTGTACATACACGTCACATGGGGTGACCTGCGGACGCAGGCCGCCGAAACCCTCATACGTGCATTTACTGCAACCAGGCCTGACTATGCAAACTCCCTGCTCGTCGGCCTCCCCAACTCCTCCCTCCACAGACTGCAGATCATCCAGAACTCTGCAACCCATGTCCTCTCCCGCACCGGGCTCCGTGACCCCATCACCCCCCATCCTCACCCGACTCCACTGGCTTCCCATCACACAGAGGATACAGTTCAAGATAATAATAATAATAATAATCCTTGCATTTGATATAGCGCTTTTCACGTCGGGAGGACTTCCCAAAGCGCTTCACAGAACACACTGTAAAGTGAATTGACTGTATATTTGTGGGCGAACGCGGCAGCCAATTGCGCACAGCAATGTCCCACAAACAGTTGTGGATTGAAAATGATCAATTTATCATTGTTTTTGGTTTTGGAGGGATTATTATTAGGCTCTGTGTGGAGTAAGGAAACTTGCCCAAGGTTTCGCCCTCTGCCAGGAATTGAACTCAGGTCTCTCACTTGCAAAGCGAGTGCTGTAACCACTGAGCTATAGGACTCCACTTTGAAGATCCTCCTCACCTTCAAAGCCCTCCACGGTTTTTCTCCCTCCACCTCCTCGACCTTCTACCCCCCTGCCATCCTGCCCACTCCCTTTGCTCAGTCGGCTCCAGCCTGCTTCACGTCCCCCACATCGCCCGCCCCACCATTGGTGGGGTGGCCTTCTGCCACTGTGCCCCCACCCTCTGGAACTTCATCCCGCAGTCCTTCCTCCTCGCCCCCTCCCTTGTCTTCCTCAAGACCCATCTCACGACCCACCTATTCGACCGTGCTTTCGTTCACCCTGCTTCCCCCACTGGCCTCCAACCTCCCCAATCCCGAACCCCAGCTTAGGTCCGAAACTCTGACTGTCCAGAACCTCGGGACGTCCTCCCAACATGAAAGGCGCTATACAAATGTAATTTTGTTGTTGTTGTTTGTCTTGTGGGGATTGGCACATGAAGCTCAATACAAATAAATGCAAAGCACTGAATATAGGAAGTATAATTAGAAGGCACATGGAAGGGACGACATTTGCAGAGGGGGAAGCTGAAAGAGACATAGGAGTGTTAGTTAACTCATCGCTTACCATGTCAAAAGAGCCAGAAGCAGCAATCAACAAAACAAAATGCAGGGCTATAGAGTATTGGCGAATCAGTTGAGTTCAGATCTCAGAAGTCAACTCAAGCTCTGCAGTGCTCGGGTTAAACAGATGTTATCACCACACCATAAGGGGTTGCTTGGCCGTAGAGAAATTGCAAAAGAGAGCAAGGAGGAAAATCCTCAGGCTCAGAGGAATGAGCTTCGAGCATTGATTGGACAGGATAGGGCTCTTCGGTCTTGAGAGGAAGTGTCTCAAGGGTCTTTTTAGAGATATATAATATAAATGGGGATTGAGAAACTAAACTCAGAACAATACTTTCACCCGCATGAGACTGCTGATGGTATAGGTTTAGGTTCGCAAAGGGCAATTTCAGGACACATTTAGTTACCCGGAGGTACAGGAAGTATTTATTTATCTAGAGAGTAATTAACAAATGGAATAGGTTACCACGAGGGGTGTTTGAGGCCAGCAATGCATGATAATGCATTGTTTCAATAAGAAACTAGAAAAATTCCTGAGCTTAAAAGTTTTCAGCAGCAAAAGGTAAGATACACGTGTTGAAGGAATATTTTTGGGACAATTGGGGAGACTGAATGGATCAAAGGTCTACTCCCTGAAACTGTTATTGTATTATTGTATTGCTTTGTTAGATCATGTTCAAAAGTACGCAGAATGCAATGTCGGTCGGTCAACATAGTATGGTAATGGCCGAGCGTTACAAAATGATCTGCCAACCATCCCAACATCGACAGCACAACAGGAGTTCACTGGAGCTGGTCATCTGACTAACCATCCTTCAGATTAGTTGCCTATTTACATTGTGAATGTTTTCTGGGAACCTTCTGTGTAACATGGCTGCTGTTTTTCCCTTCATAAAAGCAGTGATTAATTCCCCCTTCCTATGCAAAACTTATGGTGGGAGCAAAGGAACAGCCAGCAGTTGAACGAATCACTCTGTGTAACGTGGTTGTCAACCAGAATAGAACTAATCCCTCTGTTTTGTCTGTCAATGAGGGGCGGACAGAAAAGCATTTTATAATGCAAGCATCGAATGCAAACATAACAATGGATTAAATTTATAATACAACGGACATTTTGATGTACAGTACAAGGGGCCATAAAATAAAACTTTCTTTCTTTACAGCTTTGGGAATCACGGGGTAATTCAAATGTTCCAAATCGGAGCAAACCAGCTGGGGATGTTGTGTCCTTCTTCACTGAATTTCACTTAAGGTTCAGTGAGGAGACAAGAGAGTTATTTGTGGACACTGCACTCAAACGCACATCAATCATTAATCTTGCTTTAGTTGCAGTGAGAAAGCTGTTGGAAAATAAACAGGAATCCTGTTCAACCTGCTTAGCCAAGATCGCCTTCAAAACTGTACTGCTGAGTCCTGTAGCATATTGGTTAGAGCGCTCGCCTTTCAAGCGAGAGGACCCGGGTTCGATTCCTGGGCAGGGTGAAACCTTAGGCAAGTTTACTTACGCCCCATGCCTCTGTTTGCCTAGTAAGTAGAAACCCGGTTTTAGTCGACTGGCGGATAGCTTTCCGAGAGTAATAATCGCTTCAAAAATAATAATTTGGTCACTCAATCCACGACTGCTTGTGGGACACTGCTGTGTGCAATTGGCTGCTGCGTTTCGCCCACAAAATATACAGTCAAAGTACTTTGAGACGTCTCGAAGACGTGATGAGGCGCTGTATCAAATGCAAGGATTATTATTATAATTTTCCCGGAGTGAGGCTTGTGACCTTGTAAAACAGAATTCTAACTCTAGTTTTTCACTGGAAGGTGGGATTTAACAGAGGTCTTCAAAATTCTGGAAGATATTGAGAGGATAAATAATCAAAGATTATTCATGCCGGTCGATAATCAAAAACTACAGGGTATCAGCTCAGGATTGTCACCAGAAGAATTAAGGAGGGAAGGTTAGAAGAAACCGTTTTATGTTGGAGAGTTATTAGAAAACATTAGTAGTTTTTGAGTCTAAAATCTAAGGAATAATTAAAACGGAATTGGAATAAGTATCTGAAGAGATTCAATAGAAAAGAGTTCAAGGAAGGAGCGAGGAATAGAGCTTAGAATAGCTGTCACCAGCATAAACACGATGGCTCAAATGGCTGCCCCCTCTAGTGTAAACGTCTTTGATGTTATGTTGAAATGTTGTGAGTGCGTCACCGAAAAGTGAGTATCGGCAATGGTGGTTAACCTCCCACAGAGTTACCGCAACCATTGCTATAAAACCGAATGAACATGAAAGGATGCTGTGCTGAGATATCTGGAAAGTGGGATCAATGTGTCTAAAAAAGTGGGGGGTTTTTGGGAGGTGGGGACTAGCAACACACAGACTCAACGGCCTGAATGACCCCCTTCCTATGCAAAACTTATCTCGTATTTCTAGGTTTCGGGTGAGTTAGTCAGCAACCGTGACTCAGCACGGCTAGAAAAACCTCCCTAATGTTAATCCATTGCCATTGCTCCAGTTCAGTAACTCCTGCGAATCAGTAACGTTAACGCCGTCTACGCCCCACGTGCTTTGAAGGAATTTTTTTTATAGGGTTTTTTTTAAAAAAATAAGATGTTAAACATGAACCACTATGATTAAGTGAACCTCTTAACGGCTCAGATTACAAATCACACAGACTGTGTGGGTCGACTTCCTCTTTATTCCAGGCCTCTTTCTGGTATTAAACTGAATTAAAAAAGTTAGTTTGATTTCTCACCTGGCAGACAGAATGCCTCTGGATCCATGTTCGACCCCTGATAGGCCAGGCTAGACATCCACTTCCAACCCTCTTCCAATGCCACTCCTTAGACTAATAAATCGGCTTCAGTACTATTTGATCTGAGGTGGGGGGAGGTGGGGAGAATAAAGGGTAGCTATAGTGACACCAATTTTGAATTTTATTAAAAATATATTAAAAAATAATTAATAATTTGGTCACTCAATCCACTACTGTTTGTGGGACACTGCTGCACACACTTTGGTACCTTGCTTTGCCCGCAAAATATGCCATCAATTCACTTTACGGTATATTCTGTGAAGCGCTTTGAGATGTCTCTTACCCCTCCCCTCCCTCCTGATCCCAACCACCAGCTCAGATGCAGATCCCTAACCGACCTGAAAGCCGCTATACAAATGTAATTCGTTATTGTGATAAGGCACTATAGCAAAGGCGAGGATTTATTATTACGATTTTGCAGCAATGTGAACTGAAGGTCTCGAATGAAAGATTCCTTTAGAGACAGCATAGCATTCCCATCACTATGTTGCCTCTTCATCAAACGTGAATGAGTAGGTAGAAGACACGGTGCAGAGTCACGGGCTAAAATAACTAGTCTTTCTGAATTGATCAAAAAAAAACAACTACCATCTTTCCGGCTGGAATTTGCCGTTGTAGAAAGATATCAAGAGTTTCCTATTTAAATTTAGTGGAGGAGTTCGGGCACGTTCGCTCACAAAAGCGTGTGCTGTTTGTTGCTTCATTCCAGTTACTTTCAGATGCATGTTGTAACCTGCGCAAGATTGAAATCATAGCAGGGAAACACAGTTCCATTATCTATTGCTCTTGGTTTGCATTCCACGCTGGCTACAAAGCAGAGGGTTTAACCCATTTTTCTTCTTCTTCGCTCTCAGCCAAGGCATTGACCGAGGCCAGATGGGGAAAACGACTCACTACCAATGCTGCTGCGCTGCGGAAAGGTGGTAGGAAACACCTGACATTGGTCAGGCTTCACAGTGAAGAGGGGGCAGAGTGTTCATGGTGTGCTTCTCACAGAATGTGGAAGTAGAAATGCCATCAATCATTCCTACTAGACATCACTGCACTGTTCTGTTTTTTCTTCCCCCAAATGACTTCCATACACAAGCTGTAGTTAGCTGCACGGTAGCAGTGCGTTGGAATAAAGTCAATCCTGTCACTAGCCTCACTGGTCAGTTCCTACTGGTGATTGATACCAGTGAACTAGTGAAGACAGCCTTGCTAATCGGCAACAACAAATTAGATTTGTATAGCGCCCTTCACGCTGGGAGGATGTCCCAAGGCGCTGGACCTGAGCAGTGGGTAGGACCTGGAAGGGTAGCTCATGCTACAGACTTAACTATGACAATGTGGATACTAACACTAGAGTGTCCATTGCTATAGATAAGTCTTAAAACAGGGGAAATATAAAAAGGTATAGGAAAAGACAAGCAACTGAGACTAAGAGAGCCAACAGATGCAACAAACCACATAGACTGCTTCTGTGCTGGAAGTATCTATAGCTCTAAAAGGCACAACATCAAAAGAAACATTTGTATTACTCTGTTGTACAATTTTTCTTTTGATGTTGTACCTTTTAGAGCGAGAGAAACTTCCAGCACAGGAGCAGTCTATGTTGTACCTGTGTTATACCTTTTAAGGAAGAGCTTATACCTCAAATAAGCGCTTCCAACATTTGAGGGAATTGGGGGAAGAAGGAATGGGGAGAAGCAGAACACAATAGTATTTTTAGAATCTTTATTAATATTAAAAATGCAAGTTTACCATTTCACACAATAGTTAACATGAAGGAAGATGATGGTAACTGGTTCAGTACATTTTGTTGGGAGAAAACTTTTGGATAATTCAGCAAAATAAAAGCTAGCAACAGGAACAATTCCAACTTAATGACCGAGAGAATGCATTCTCTACAGTTAATGCAGCACAATCCAGTACTGATAAAAATGATCAATAGAAAGGGAAGTGATGTTCAACGTTAAATCCAGTGCTTTCCGAAAAGGTTGCAGAACCCAGTTTTAAAACAAAATAATCCTGAAATAAGGAATATAAAGGGAGCTTGGGTGGGTGCTAAGATACAAAACACATCTATTCCTTAATTCCAATACAAAGGCAGAAATAAAACTATTCAAAAACATGTTAAAAACAATCATACAGTCTTTCTGAGTTGTTTTGCATTAAGAGAAAAGCCTCAAAATACAATTTCAAGAGCACGCCTAAAATGCTAATTAAAATGGTTAACCAGAATTAAGGAGCTGCATAGCAGCCTCATTAATAATCTAAAAAAACAGGCAATTGACCAGTCTGTTCAGTGTCTTTTTGAGTTCTTCAAAGGTTTCCATCTTCAGCGGAGGACAGTGAATTGATGGGAGGTTTGAAAAAAAATAACTTGTAGCATTCTACCTTTTGGATTTATGTGGTCAGCTCACTTCTGCATTTCATCCAACTCTCTTCCCTGTTGTAGAAGAATGGGAATGTTTAATTTGGGTATTGAAAATTTAAGAAGAACGCTGAACTAGTCTGGAAGATTAATCAAACTCACCTCCGCCTTTTGGTACATATGAGACTTCATTTTCTTCCTGGAAAGAACCTAGATAGAGGGAGAGAGAGAGAGAGAGAAAAAATGATACCCTGTCAAAACACAGAATTCCACAATGTTGAACACTGATCATACTTGATTCAAGTTAAACTAGAGTCAGGACATTAAGTGAATTGGAGATTCTCACTTGTACCTTTGCAGGCAGGAAAAAAGTAAAATGCACAATGCAGGGGTTTAATTAAACTTTCTTGTAAATTGTACCATTTAATGTGTTTAGGCTCCGAACATGTCCCTTCATTTGCTGTTGTAGGATGACCCATAAAGCTTGTAACTGCTCTACAAAGGGTCAGTCTATGAACAACTTCATCCCATTATTCATAAAAGGTTTATTTTCACTATGTGAAAAAAGTAGGGTCGAATTTAAAAAAAGCAATATCTTCCTGAAGTGATTACAACTAAATAACAAGAACCCAAACTGCACAGTGCAATAGCTGCAAGTATTCAGGGTAGATGATCAAAATTACTTCAGCTCCAGTTTTTTTTTTGAAAATAAAACACACAACACACAATTTCTTAACGTCTCAAAAATTGTTGATATCCAATCGATTTATCAGATCTTTCCTAGTACAGGATTAAGTCAGCAGAATTGCTTCCAAACCTACTTACCAGCACAACAAGGCCAGCAATAATAGCCAGAACCACCACCACGATAACAGCGATAACTCCAGGTGTTAGTTGCTTCATGCTGAACTCTGGGCCCCTCTCGTCCACATAGTAAACCAAGGCCTTTGTGAAAGTAACCTTCACCCCATCGACGTCAATCCCATCGGCTTTGATAGATCTGCTACCCGCAGGGGTTGTGTAAAAGGAGGAATCCTTGATCTAACAGACAAAAGGGGAGTTTGTTGGTGTTGAGGTTGTAGTCAGTCTATAATCGCACAAGAAACCTCTCTGCACAAAGTCCTGGCTACAGTATGGACACGTTCAAAAGGTGGAAGGAAGTCAAACCATTTGGAACTTTACCTACAAACATGCAACAAATGGGGATCTCAAACTCTCCTAAAGAAATGCCTCGCTAAGTCACTAATGCCGCCTGCTATTTTAGATAGAGGTGTGGGCAGGCAAATGACTTTCCCTGCTCTAAGCGAAGACCAAGTGTCGTTCAATACCACTGTGTTAAAATATAACACGGTCTCATCCGTTCTCTTGATAGTTTTGACAGATTTGTAGCTAACCAGTTTTTTTTATGTTTAAAAAAAAGTGTATCATAACACAATGGATAAAAGGATTCTTTCTTCCTCCCCCTCCACCTCCCCCCCACAAAAAAGCTTAAAATTTTGTCCCATTGCAAGTTAGCCGATCTCAAGTGGTGTCGTACAATAATTAATCTCAGCAACCCTGGACTATGAAGGGAGAAGCATACACCCAAGGATTTAGCCATAGCTCTCTCTCTCCCACCCAACCCTCTATTCTTAACATAGACTAAACGAATCAAACGTGTTGAGCAGGCAAGACGACAAAAATCAAAGACACTAAAACTTACGTCCTTCTCCAGGTAATAGGCTGAAGTAGCGAGATCGGATGGTGTTTGGACAGTTATGTTCTGTTTAAGATCCAGAATGATTGTATTATCGTCCTTAAAATACTGAAAAAGAACAGGAGAATAGTGAAGCTTGGATTCAGGTTTGTTTCCACTCGAAATGTCCACGCTGCTCTCTAAAAGAGCCATCGAAATCATCTCTGAATACAGTACACTTTATAAAAACCGATGAACTTTGAGATATTGATATAAAATACTATTTGTTTTTTTAAAAAAAAGAAAAACCTCAAGGTCAGCATTGTCCTTATTCAATTAAGTTGAAGCAATGCGAGCGACCGAGGGCTTGACAGATACAGATCCAAACTTGTCTTGTGAGTAGGGGATTGGAGAAACAATCTCAAATGCTAAACACTTGCATGTTTTCTCATAGTTTGCTCCCACACACCATTTGTCTTATAACTGAACCAGCTTTTGGAACAGCAGCGCGCATTTATATAGTACCTTTCAAACAGGTAAGCGTCTGCAGGATTAACAGCAGTCAGTTTGACACTGCGGGTGGGGGAAGAAAACCAAAGGCACAGTCAAGGAGGACAGTCTTCAGGCATGATTTGAAGACTGGCAAAGAGGAGGCAAGACGGAGGGAGTCCTCCATCTTTGGGGCAGAGCGGCTAAAACCAATGGTGGAGCGGAGGGGACAAGAGACGTGCAGAGGAATTGCATTAACAGGCCTGTACCACGACATGCTTTTGAACCTACCTCCACTTTCTCAATGTAGCCCTTGGCCACCTGATACTCCTCAACAACCTTCGTGATTTTTCTGTTGAAAGAAAGTCATCGTCAATTAATAAACCTTTGGCAACATCAACATGTGTGCAGCAGCAAGATATGCAATGGTGAGGCTTACTTACTCAATCAATTTGTTTTCATCAATCGAATCAACAGGCTTGTGTCTGAGTTCAATTCGAAACCAGCTGCATTTTTAAAAAAAAAAGTATTGGAATTAGAAAAAAGTTGCTGAAAAAGCATGAAAAACATAAAATCTTCATTCGTTCGAAGAAAACCAGTGGCCTGTGGAATTTTTCTGTGAATCTTAGAACAACAAAATAACAATAAAGTGACATTTGTGAAGCGCTTTCTACGTCGGGAGGATGTCCCAAGGCACCAACAACTTCCAACAACACTCGAAACAAACTGTTAAACACGTTGGCAGTTCTCCCAACTGTCAGATTGGAACACGCACAATGGTACAATGGCTCAGTTACTTGTGGAAATTGATCTCAGAACTACACCTTCCCTGTCCTCCCTTTCCCCAGTACCCCCACACTAAAGCTGGTCTTTTGAATTGTTGCACAGAACGAGATTATTTATTCAAATTAAGTTTCCAGCAACTGAACTTGCAGACTCTGGTCTTTTCTCCACATCCCGTTCTAATAACCCAAAAGCAAATTGACCATTTGAGAAAATGTATAATCTGTTGGAAGATTTAAGCAATGTCCCCAAAGTAGTCTGTTCCATGGTTAGGATTGCGACAAAAGTACGAAATAAACCGTGAAGCCCTTATGGGCAGATTTTCACCAGCTTTAGACAAACACTAATGCCATTTATTTCACTTTGATACCTAGCGAGCCTCGACTAGAAAAACTGTCGACCTCCAGGGTCATAAATTTGCAATAGACACAACTTTCGGTGCAGTTGCAGGAACTCATCACCGCCTGAGTGTTGCAGAAAACAATATCCACGGCAACCTTATGACCCAATTTGAAGCGGGGAAAAATGTCTTTTTTTTAAAAAAAACTTTAAAATCGAGCCCCTTAATGAAACTGAGGAAGTTGGAATAAACGAACACCAATTCTACCATCGAAACTTGAACCTGGTGAACCCACTGACAGGACATCAAATATGACCCGGATATTGTGATCAGCTTTCATGCAAAACAGATCTGAATGTACTTACAATGTTTTTACAAGCTCGTCGCATTTTTTATCCGTGTCGCCTTTGTCTGTCCTTCGAACACCTGCACTGTTCACGCACCAGCAAACATCCGTTCCGTTGCACTGTTTGGCATGGAAGTCTCCTACATCGTTACACTCGGGGTCATAGATGCCATCGGTATCCAACAAAGCATCTTCCGAGGGCTTTCTGCGAGTCCCCACTCCGTTCACAATTCGGTACATTTCAGCCTTCATCATCCAGCATTTGCGAGTCACTGAATGGGATTAAGAGTTCCAGATATTAGGCACGATTCTCCTCCCACTTCTGGCTAGTAGACAAGAATGGCGACAGTCTGCACGGCAGCCATTTCATGCGCACCACAAGACCTCTCTTTGAGTAGTTATTTGCCTAATTATCAGGTGTTGACCTGCAACTATTCACATGGAACCACACTGGTCTCCCAACAGATAGGAATCCAGACTCTCGGCTCTTTAAAATGCCTTTAAGGCCTCGCCCCACCCAAATTCTGCAAACCCAGTAAACTGGCTGCTTCTTTTACTCAGCAAGCACTGGCGTGTGCCATTTCCGTAGGGTTGAACTCATGCTGAGGAGTAGCACCCAACATTGGTAGGCAAGCTTTCACCCATTTTCTCCCCCGCTTTCTGGAACTCCATTCTAGAGTACTTCTGGCTGGACCCTTTCTTAAAATTATGACCAAGTTCCTACGATTCCTAGCCACCAAGGCTTTCAGTCATCTTCCTTCCTCCCCCCACCACCCCCCACTCCCCAACCGGTCAAGCTTCCAATCAGTTTTGATAAGCAAAAAAGTCATCTCCCCAATGGTTAAAGCCACTACTGTATAGAAATCTATACAAATGTAGTACATTGGTGTTTGCAATCACAGGGAAGCCTAATTCAGTCTTCAAACAGTGTGCACTTCCACGATACTGGCTTTACACGATACCGCAGCAACCAGAAACAATTCAAAAGGAAGTCCTATTCCCACAGCAATAAGGGGATTGTAAAATCCCAAGATAAGTTAGTAAATGGTCTGGACTTACTTATGGAGCAGTTCACTGGAATAGCTTCTGATTTGGATATCTTCAAGGTGCATTGACAAGGGGTTCCAGAGCACCTGGCATATCTGTTGGTCGTGCATGGCGCACAAGCCTCTGTAATTAAGAAAAAAAAACATACAATTAAACCACTTTTTTCTAAAACAAAGTCACAACTCTATTCCTCATAGCTCAACATAGGGACTATTAAAGCTTCAGCCTGCAAGGCGGAGGACATGACCCCTTGAGTGCTCTGAAGCTATCCTGCACGAAGGGCACCATATAAATGCTTGTTGTTGCATTATATGGTCCCAGGCTGGCCAGCCGTCCTGAGAGTGCCTTAGTTTACATCAACAACAGCTTGCATTTACATAGAGCCCTATATACAGGTACTACAGACCTGCCTGATACCAGGTGCTACTCCTCAGCATGAGTTCAACCCTAAGGAAATGCCAATTAACTTTGCTAACCGCCCCCCCCCCCCCACCACCAAGATACAATAGTCATCTCACAGCCACCAATTCTAATCCAGAAGCTTTTGCTCTAAAGCCCAGGAAGGGAAGTGCAACTCGACTGAATTGGCCGCATATATATACACACACACACACACACACACACACGTTAACACAAAAAAATTATGCTCCGGTCAAAGAGGCGGGAATATAAAAAAAATGCTAAAAATAAGTCACCCTTTCCACGGTTTAAAATTTTTAACGAAACGCCAGACATTCCATTTGGCACAGTCACTCCACCCAAAAAAAAAAGTTACACCGTATTTAATTTTTCTGGAAATAACAACCAAGTTCGAAATTCGAGTACAACAAGCTGAAAAATAACTCTTGAATAAAAAAAAATGAGCCGGGAGACAAGAGAGGTGAACTTCGTCACGGTCAAAGAGGAGGATTTTCAGGCACGACCTGAAAGATGGGGAAAGAAAGGGCAAGGCGGAGGGATAGATGGAAGGGTGTTCCGTAGTTTCGGGGCGTAGTGGGCTGATAACATGGCCGCCGATGGTGGAACGACCAGTCAAGCGGAGGCAGCGGGTTGTGGGGTGAGCGGGTCGGATGAGGTAGGGAGGTGCCAGGTGCACGAAGGGATTTGAAAAGGAGCGCGAGGGTTCTGGAAATCGATGGGTTCAGCTAGCGGAGCCCGGCTAGTACTGGTGCAACCCATTTCGCAATCAGAATCCTTTGCCTCACCGCATCGTCGAGACATTTCGAAGCACGTCACAGAATTATAGCGTCAAGCGGATCGACTGCGTGTCCGGGGGCGAAACACAACAGCCAACCAACCGCACGCAGCTCAACAGCAAACCGAATAACTTTTCGAGAGGCGGTGAACACACCGGCTAAAAGGAGAAGCCTGGAAATGTAGAGGGCAGCTGCAAGGGGAGTATTTGGCTCCCATTTGAACATGGTTCTGAATCAGACTACATCACTCCCCCAAAGGCATTTTACCTACTCTTTGACCACCCCTAGAGGGCAGGTCAGGCATCCTCCCCCCACCCTCACCCAGTCAGTCCATACACCCAAACACCACCCTTTGCTTTGAGCTGAACTTCTTTGTAACAGACCCTTTAAACTTTCTTTTGCACAGTGGAAAGAAAAACACACAGAAAGCTGAATTTCCCAGCAATGGGCTGTGTTTTCCCCCCCCCACCCCACACCCCCCCACCTCCACCTGTGCCTCAAGGTTCAATAGAAATAAAGTCGAATAGAATCTCAAAAAAAAAATTTATGCCAAAATAAAACCAAGGGGACAATTAAACATTGACAAGAGTTATTGACCCACCAGCAAAAAAGCTTTTTTTTCCCCTCTCTCTCTCTCTTGGGAGGTGAGAAAGGACATATTTACTGCATTAAGCAAAACATTTCTGGGCACAGTGATAATAATAAAAAAAAGAAAGGGCTGTTGTGAAAAGAGATTGAAGAGAGACAGAATGAGGACACAAGAGGTTGTTGAGGAAGAGCCACACCTTTGAGAACAAAAGCAATGGATCCACACTTACCATCAGTCTGAGCCACCACCACTCCAACCAGGACCACAGCCAACAGGACACATACTACAGGTATCTCCATCCAAGAGAGTAGGTGGGGAGAAAAAGTCCAACAACAGCAAAAAAAAATGATATTCCTTCTTTGCAGAATCAAAAGCCAAGACAGGACAAGGAAAGATTAACCCAGAGCCAAGTCCTTCCACTTGCTGTTCCCAATCTAGAAGGAGCAATGAGATCTCTTAACTTTTTAGAAGAGAAGAGAAAAAAAAAAGGATCCCAAATTCACTTTGGGTTTTTTTTGAGACTTGGTTGATATATTATGCAATAAACTCTCCAAACAACACAGGATCTGGTAATGCCTTGTTAAATCCTTCCTCTCCAGTGAGCTTCTGGAGCACAGTTCCTGTTGTGCAGGTATTTATAAGGTGAGTGACTTGACGTCAGCTCATTACCTGAGCAGAAACTGGTGATTTCAATGTCTCTCTCACTCAAGTCATCGTTGCTTTCCAAACCATATTTGTCTCTTCCTGTACTCTTAGAGGAACAAAAAAAGGTGTGATCTCACCTATCTCTCTCTCTCTCTTTCTGTTCAGATCCTACTTAACACTGTTAAGTTGTTTGGATTCCCCCCCCCCCACCACCAAAAAAAGTTCACCTGAAATTAATAGAAAATAGTAGGAAAAAAATGCTCCTGGTGTTTTCCTGGGTGGTTGAGTTTTTGTTTATTTCTAACCCAGATTCCACTGAAACTGGAGTTGTGGGAGGGAGGGAGGGAGGGGGTTAAAAGGAAGTTAAGAGGGATTAAGGGGTTGGATTGGGAAAGATTTAAAGTGTGTCTCAGTTGTGAAATTCACAAATGTTCCTCCTTTATGTTCTACCAAAACCTGATTAAACTGATGGTGGCAGGGCACCGTTTAAGCGCTCTGAGGCGCTATCCTTATAAAAGATGCTGTATGAATGCAAGTTGTTTTTTTCCAAACAGAAAACGCTTCAGACTAAAGCCGAAGAGGTTTGAGGCATTGTACACTCCTGTGTTTGATCAGAAAGGTTATTTCTGAGGTCTTTTTCTGATGTCAAAGGCACGTTTGCCTTTGCTTTGCTTCTTGCCGGTATTATTTTTGAATTGACAATAAATATTCGGAATTTACGCATAACAAATTGATGTATATTTCCTTAGATGTAAAATAAATGAATGAATGGATGCATGCAGATACCTTTAACTAGTTCTCTTGGATGATTCTATCGATCGAGCCTCTATCTTGTGGTTCCTGATTGCTGCCCAGTGACATTGGCTACAAAAAATGCCAATCTTTACATTGTAATTGATTGCCTATTAACCTTAAGCTATCTCAAAGTGTTTTCTGATCACGTGTAGTGACTGTGTATTGCTGCAGGGAATGTGGCAGCTAATTTGGGCAGAGCAAGTTCGCACAAATGGCCGTAAAGTACATGACCAGTTTTATCTGTGGAGTCCTGTAGCTCAGTGGTTAGAGCACTCGCTTTGCAAGTGAGAGACCTGAGATCAATTCCAGGCAGAGGGCGAAACCTTGGGCAAGTTTCCTTACTCCACACAGAGCCTAATAATAATCCCTCCAAAACCAAACACAATAATAAATTGGTCATTTTCAATCTACGACTGTTTGTGGGACATTGCTGTGCGCAATTGGCTGCCGCGTTCGCCCACAAATATACAGTTAATTCACTTTACAGTGTGTTCTGTGAAGCGCTTTGGGACGTCCTCCCGACGTGAAAAGCGCTATATCAAATGCAAGGATTATTATTATTATTATTATTATCTGGAGGATTGTTGGCCAGGATGCTGGGAGAAATTCTGTTCGCTTTTTAAGTAGTACAATAATAGTAATAATAAATAAATCCTTACATTTAGTACAGCGCCTTTCACATCCAGAGGATGTCTCAAAGAGCTTCGCAGTGTATACAGTAAACTGTGTGTTTTGTGGGTGGCCATGGCAGCCAGTTTGTAGCACAGCAATGTTCCACAAACAGCCACAGAATGAATGACCAATTTTATTTGGGGGATTGGTGGCCAGGACACCAGGAGAAAATCCCTTTTCTTTTCGAACAGTGAGTTGGGATCTTTAACATCCACTTGAAAAGGCAATGCGACCTCTGTTTAAATATCTCATCAAAAGGTCTGCATCTTAAAACAATGCTTGCTCGCTTGCCTTAGCACTGACTAGAGTGTCAGCCTAATAATAATAATAATCCTTGCATTTGATATAGCGCTTTTCACGTCGGGAGGACGTCCCAAAGCGCTTCACAGAACACACTGTAAAGTGAATTGACTGTGTATTTGTGGGCGAACGCGGCAGCCAATTGCGTACAGCAATGTCCCACAAACAGTCGTGGATTGAAAATGACCAATTTATTATTGTTTTTGGTTTTGGAGGGATTATTATTAGGCTCTGTGTGGAGTAAGGAAACTTGCCCAAGGTTTCGCCCTCTGCCTGGAATTGAACCCCAGGTGCGTCGCTTGCAAAGCGAGTGCTCTAACCACTGAGCTACAGGACTCCTAGACAATGAACTCAACGTCACAGTGTGGAGTTTCAACCCATGACCTTCTGACTCAGACGAGTGAGTACGAGAAACTGAGCCAGCACGATACCTACAGTCCCTGAAAACATTTGTAAGGGATAATATTATCAGATTGAGAACAATTGTCGGATCAGAGATCAAGTTATCTAATTCTTTATAAACTTCTATCAAGATGGAGTTCAGGGTCCTGCACCTCTCTACGCAAAGAGGCGAGAACCAGATAATAGTCATAAAGGTTTATGAATTTAAAGTTATGAATCAGGATGAAATCTTTATGGTGTGAGTCAGGCAGATAACGCTACTGTAATCACCTGTAGTGTGAAAATCAAACAGACTAAATACACATATAATATTGATGATAATCCGTGCATTTGATATAGTGTTTGATACAGGCGTCTCAAAGCGCTTCACAGAATATACTGTAAAATGAATCGACTGTATGTTTTGTGGGCGAAACATGGCTACCAGTTGCGCACAGCAGCGTCCCCACAAACAGTCGTGGATTGAGTGACCGCATTTTTTTTACATGTATATTTTTTTCGAAGGGATTATTGCCCCCGGAAAAGCGATCCTCCAATCGACTACCAACCGGGTTCCTGCTTACCTGCTTGGTGAACAGAGGCGGGTGGAGTGAGGAATAATAATAATAATCCTTGCATTTGATATAGCGCTTTTCACGTCGGGAGGACGTCCCAAAGCGCTTCACAGAATATACTGTAAAGTGAATTGACTGTATATTTGTGGGCGAACGCGGCAGCTAATTGCGCACAGCAATGTCCCACAAACAGTCGTGGATTGAAAATGACCAATTTATTATTGTTTTTGGTTTTGGAGGGATTATTATTAGGCTCTGTGTGGAGTAAGGAAACTTGCCCAAGGTTTCGCCCTGTGCCTGGAATTGAACTCAGGTCTCTCACTTGCAAAGCGAGTGCTCTAACCACTGAGCTACAGGACTCCAAACTGGAGTAAGGAAGCTTTCGCCCTGCCCAGGAATCAAAAAGTGCTCTCACCACTAATTTACAGGACTCTACGTTTTATTACACACAAATATATTAACAATCAATGATGCTATTGGCACGATATATGACTGTCAATGCGAAAGTCCTAAAAAGTGATTAAAAAGCACTGGAAGCAGTTTGATTACCTCCCTCTTCTCCACTCTTTAATAAAGCTTTGGGTGGAGGTTTGTAGCTGTATAAATGCATGTTGTTGTTGTTGTTCTTCTTCTTCTTAACGGTTTAGCCAAAGTCTCCAGGAAACCCGGACTTTAGTTTTACTTTTCTTTTAACAGTAACCCGGCGACGCTAAAGTGTGTGTTCAGATCATGAAGCATTATTGACCATAAGGAAGAAAGAACTTTTATGTTTATAGGGTTCATGTATGTCGAAGCAGCTCATATAAGAATCAGCCTTGCATTTTGATATAGTGCCTTGTCACATCTGCGAGACATCACAAAGCGCTTTGTAGGATGTACTGTAACTTGGTGAAAAAAAAAACTGTGTGAAGTTTGTGGGCTGATGGCTTTCTGTGGAGCATTACTCCGCACAAAATGGCTGCCACATTTGCCTACAAAAACAGGCAGTTAAAACGCCTCGCAGCAGTTGCCTGTGACGTGGGCTGAGATGTTTTGAATGTTGTAGCTGAGATATCAAATGCTGTTATTGTACGAGATTCGGCTGAAAGGCATGACGGCAGAACTGGACGAGGCTCGGTTGCTCTCTGGATCAAATAACTTGCCAACGCTCCATGCCAAGAAAAAAAAATGGTCTATTGAGTGAAGCCCTGGAGGTTGACTGAGGTCGATTGAAAAGTATCCCCGGCGGGAAGAGAAACAGGTCAATTATCAGCAGGGGAAGAGGAAATGGTGGAATATGGTCAAGAGAGGAAAAAACATATCGAAAGGTACATACAACAGAAAGCTGCACAGACTGGCACAAGAGTGATGTATCTTTAACGGGCTTTAAGGCAGCGAGGGAGTGAGAGCTCAGAACACAGAGTAAACGAATACCACCGATACCGGTTATACCAGCTTCATTTACGGCCGCAACAGAGAAAGCTGTGCTGAGCTCACAGTTGCTAAGGAGTGGCTCGCAGCAACCAGCTTAAAGAGTTTCTGTTTGGCTCAGGTGGGAACGAGGGCATGTTAATTGTATTCAGCGTATCCAGTGCCATTTAACTCTTCCAGGGCTGCATCGGGGGCCTTTCCAACACTTCAAATATTCACCTTGTTGTCCATAATAGCAGTGATCGTAATAATCCTTGCATTTGGCACAGCGCCTCATCACGTCTTCGAGACGTCTCAAAGCGCTTCACAGGAATATACTGTCAAGTGAATTGACTGTGGGTTTTGTGGGCGAAACGCGGCAGCCGATTGCGCACAGCGGCGTCCCGCAGACAGCCGTGGGTTGGAGTGACCAACCTATTATTTATTATTTTATTATGGGAGAAATGGTACATAAATAGTACTGTTTTAAAGAGGGTTTCAGGAGCAGAGAGACCCGGGGGTTCACATTACACAGGTCTTTGAAGGTGGCAGGAAAGGTCGATAGAGCTGTTAAAATAAGAGAGGACATGGGATCCTTGGCTTTATAAATAGAGGCAGAGAGTACAAAACGCAAGGAAGTTCTGCTAAACCTTTACAGGTCACTGGTTAGGCCTCAGCTGGAGTATTGCGTCCAGTTCTGGACATCGCACTTTAAGAAGGATATCAAGGCCTTGAGAGGGTACAGAGGATAGCAGGAGGATCAAGTTTGATGTTAAAGATCCCGTGGCATGATTCATAAAGAGAACAGTATTTCCTCTGCTGTCCTGGTCAACAATCCTCCAGATAGAACA